TGTGTATATTTCCACTATTAGAAAGGAGTAGAGGGGAACGGCCTTCAGATTTCATTTCATGGCCGAGGTAAATGGCATCAAGTTCATGTTCAACCAGCAGAGCGTTGGCGGCTGTCGGTTCATTGCCTGGAAGCACTCTAACAACAATTAAAAAATAGGGATTTTTTCCGGGGGTTGGTAGGTACGAAAAGACCACAAGCGGTGTCTTCTGCAAGGAAACATTAAAGTCTTCATGGTGCTAAATCAAACCTAACGGAAAAATCGCATAACTCGTTCTGTTCAAACAACGACGTAATTGCACTTCTACCTAACGACGAAAAAATTCGCCAACTCACACTGCTATCAATAACTAAAACCCGATAAAGAATCACAAGAAGGTGATTCACGGAATTCCAGAGTCAAGTGCGTGTTGGTCAGTGTTTCACCACCGCAGCCCCCGATGGGTATTTAATTTTTCTCTTTTCTTAGTTTGGTAGCAGTGTAAACGTGTGCAATATGGATCGATCGCGTGATCGCTCTTCTTTGTGCAATGAGGGCTAATGGCCTTTAACCTTGACTCCTGCTATTGACCAGTCTGCGATAAATTGAGAAATCTCTATTCATCTAAGTTGGTAACATTGATAGTGACATTTCGGCCGAGCCGGATTTACAAGACACGATTTTTAACGTATTGTGAGGAGTGGTAACTCCACCACCGTTGGCGTGTGTTGTACTGCCAGCGGTTGAGGAGTTCCTTAACCTCGCTGTAGTTCTTCAGATGCCGGACAGGTAAGTTTTTGTCGGGGAGGATTAGCCGGACAGCGGCAAACGTGCAAGAGGTTTCGCAGCTAGGGAGTATGCGAAAAATGTGGGGGTTTTCGGGCGTAATCTGTTCTTTTAAATTTAGGAATTTGAATTTTTTACTATTATAGTTCTAGAAGTAATAACAGTAGGAGCTTCAAAATTATTTCCAAATTTTTCAAAAACAAAACCCAGGCACCTCCGAAACTCTTCTAAATTCTTAAAAAAAAATCTGGGGCCTCTGAGATTTTTTCAAAAACAAAACGCTAGGAACTCCAAAAAGGCGCTAGGACCCTCCGGGATTCTACACATTCTTCAAAAAAGACTCGGGGTTTCCGAATAAAAAAATCCTGAAATTTTTTCGCATTCTTCAAAAAAAAAGATACTACGGGTTTCCTGAAAATTGTTCAGTTCTTTAAAACAAAATATGCTAGGGATTCCTGAGTTTATTTAAATTTTTCAAAAAAAAAGAGGGACCCGTACTTCTTCTGGAATTGAAAGGAAACTCAGGGTTCCAGAAATTCTTCTGCAACTGAAACCAACACTCAGCGTTCCAAGGATTTTTTTCAATAAAATAATAGACACTCGGGCTCCAGAGATACTTATGTAGCTAAGCAAAAAACACTCAGGGCTCCTGAGCTTTTTATGCAACTAAGCAAAAGACACTCAGGGCTCGTGAGATACTAATTCAATTAAGCAAAAGACATTTCGGATTCCTGAGATTTTTAAACAACTAAGCTAAACACACTTAGGGGTCCCGAGATTCTTAAGCAACTAAGCTAAAGACCCTCAGGACTCCCGAAATTCTTAAACAACTAAGCAAAAGACACTCAGGGCTCCCAAGATTCTAATGCAACTAAGCTAAAGACACTCAGGGTTCCCTAAGCTAAAGACCCTCAGGACTCCCGAAATTCTTAAACAACTAAGCAAAAGACACTCAGGGCTCCCGAGATTCTTAAACAACTAAGCAAAAGACAGTCAGGGTTCCCGAGATTCTTAAGCAACTAACCTAAAGACACTCGGAATTCTCGAGATTCTCGACTCTCAAGATTCCTGAGATGTTTATGCAACTAAGCAAAATACACTCGGGAATCCCGAGATTCTTAAGCAACTAAGTAAAAGACACTCAGATCTCCCGAGATTCTTATGCATCTAAGCAAAAGACACTCAGAACTCCCGAAATTTTTTCGCATTCTTCAAAAAAAAATTACTACTATTTTTCTGAGAATTTTTCAGTTCTTTTAAAAAAAAAAGGATACTTGGAGCTCCCGAGACTCTTGCATATTCTTTAAAAAATATATGCTAAAGATTCCTGAGTTTAAATAAATTTTTCACGTACACACGGACCCGTAATTCTTTTGCAATTAAAGAAAAAACACTTACAGCTACAGAAATTCTTCTGCAACTAAAACAAACACTCAGTGTTCCTGGGATGTCTTTGCAATTAAATAATAGACACTCTGGCTCCAGAGATACTTAGGTAGCTAAGCAAAAAACACTCAGGGCTCCCGCGATTCTTGAACTAAGCAAAAGACACTCGGGATTCCCGAGATTCTAATGCAACTAAGCTAAAGACACTCAGGGTTCTCGAGATTCTTATGCAACTAAGCAAAAGACACTCAGGGCTCCTGAGATTCTAATGCAGCTAAGCTAAAGACACTCAGGGCTCCTGAGATTCTAATGCAACTAAGCTAAAGACACTCAGGGCTCCCGAGATTCTAATGCAACTAAGCAAAAGACACTCAGGGCTCCTGAGATTCTAATGCAACTAAGCTAAAGACACTCAGGCCCCCCGAGATTCTAATGCAACTAAGCTAAAGACACTCAGGGCTCCCGAGATTCTAATGCAACTAAGCAAAAGACACTCAGGGCTCCTGAGATTCTAATGCAACTAAGCTAAAGACACTCAGGCCCCCCGAGATTCTAATGCAACTAAGCTAAAGACACTCAGGGTTCCCGAGATTCTAATGCAACTAAGCAAAAGACACTCAGGGCTCCTGAGATTCTAATGCAACTAAGCTAAAGACACTCAGGGCCCCCGAGATTCTAATGCAACTAAGCTAAAGACACTCAGGGCCCCCGAGATTCTAATGCAACTAAGCAAAAGACACTCAGGGCTCCTGAGATTCTAATGCAACTAAGCTAAAGACACTCAGGCCCCCCGAGATTCTAATGCAACTAAGCAAAAGACACTCAGGGTTCCCGAGATTCTTATACAATAAAGCAAAAGGCACCTTGGGCTCCTGAGATTCTAATGCAACTAAACAAAAGACACTCAGGGTTCCCGAGATTCTTATGCAACTAAGCAAAAGACACTCAGGACTCCTGAGATTCTAATGCAACTAAGCAAAAGACACTCAGGGCTCCTGAGATTCTAATGCAACTAAGCTAAAGACACTCAGGCCCCCCGAGATTCTAATGCAACTAAGCAAAAGACACTCAGGGTTCCCGAGATTCTTATACAATAAAGCAAAAGGCACCTTGGGCTCCTGAGATTCTAATGCAACTAAACAAAAGACACTCAGGGTTCCCGAGATTCTTATGCAACTAAGCAAAAGACACTCAGGACTCCTGAGATTCTAATGCAACTAAGCTAAAGACACTCAGGGCTCCTGAGATTCTAATGCAACTAAGCTAAAGACACTCAGGCCCCCCGAGATTCTAATGCAACTAAGCAAAAGACACTCAGGGTTCCCGAGATTCTTATACAATAAAGCAAAAGGCACCTTGGGCTCCTGAGATTCTAATGCAACTAAACAAAAGACACTCAGGGTTCCCGAGATTCTTATGCAACTAAGCAAAAGACACTCAGGACTCCTGAGATTCTAATGCAACTAAGCTAAAGACACTCAGGGCCCCCGAGATTCTAATGCAACTAAGCTAAAGACACTCAGGGTTCCCGAGATTCTAATGCAACTAAGCAAAAGACACTCACGGTTCCCGAGATTCTTAAGCAACTAAGCAAAAGACACTCAGGGTTCCCGAGATTCTTATGCAACTAAGCAAAAGACACTCAGGGTTCCCGAGATTCTTAAGCAACTAAGCAAAAGACACTCAGGGTTCCCGAGATTCTTATGCAACTAAGCAAAAGACACTCAGGGTTCCCGAGATTCTTAAGCAACTAAGCAAAAGACACTCAGGGTTCCCGAGATTCTAATGCAACTAAGCTAAAGATACTCAGGTCTCCTGAGATTCTAATGCAACTAAGCTAAAGACACTCAGGGCTCCTGAGATTCTAATGCAACTAAGCTAAAGACACTCAGGGTTCCCGAGATTCTAATGCAACTAAGCAAAAGACACTCAGGGTTCCCGAGATTCTTATGCAACTAAGCAAAGGACACTCAGGGCTCCTGAGATTCTAATGCAACTAAGCTAAAGACACTCAGGGCTCCCGAGATTCTAATGCAATTAAGCAAAAGACCCTCACGCCTCCCGAGATTCTTAAGCAACTAAGCAAAAAAACACTCAGGGCTCCCGAGATTCTTAAACAACTAAGCAAAAAACACTTATTGCTCCCGAGATTCTTAAGCAACTATGCAAAAGACACTCAGGGTTCCCGAAACTCTAATGCAACTTAGCAAAAGACACTCAGACCTCCCAGGATTATTAAGCAACTAAACAGAAGACACTCAAGGTTCTTGAGATTCTTAAGCAACTAGAAACAAAAACACACTTGGGATTCCCGAATTTCTTTCACAAAAAGACATTATAATTTATGGAGTTTCTTTCAATTTAAAAAAAAAAAAGACAAAATTCTTTTAACTTCTAAAAAAATCTTTGAAAGAAAAAAAGATTCAAAGATTCTTTCAAACTTCTCCAAAAACATTTTGTTCGCTCATCAGTAAAAAGCCGATAAACAGGAAGACATTGGTTTGATAAATGGACGCCGCATTGACATTAGCGCCGAAGCAAGAAAACTCTCGGGACCTTGATCCTACCATATGGTCGTTTACAACTAATTTGGGAAATTAACAAACCCATTAATTATAGCAGCTGTAGCCGTCGACCATACAAATGGGTGATTTATGGAAATTTTTAATTGCAATATATTGGAAATTTCGCCAGAATAACGCAAACTTCCGCTCCTCCGTCCCTTAATTGCAAACCAAACAAGATAAGCAAATCGCAAAAAATAAAAACAAACACTTGTCGCAACGTTTTTGTTTTTAATTTTCCTATCTATTTCGTTGACAACGTACAGGATATAGATAGTGCTCTAATTAATTGTGCGAATTGTTTGTCGACCGATAGATAAGCTGATAGTTCTCTCGGCGCTATCGCAGTGATGGTCTGAGAAGAAAAAATGGTAGTGATAGGTGATGGAGAAATGAATCTTGATGATGAAGAACCGAAACAGGGGATCTATCTGCCGTCGCAGGACAAAGGGGTGGACACCAGGGTATACCTCAACAGGTAACAGAAAAACAAATAGAGAACGTCAGTGTGGTATTGGAATTAATCGCTTGATACATTTTCTTATGATATAATGACCCGTTTCATGGCCAACTTCCTTCTAATGTTTATTGTCAAATTATAACGTGGAACAAAGCGGAATCGACAAATCCACCTTCTACGAATATTTAAAACACAATGGCAAACACACACCACAGACTTATCAACACTAGAGTGCCACCGCTGATTTTTTTTCGAAACGAAATCAACCCGTCTCAAAAATAAACTATACAGGGTGATCAAGTTAATAACCCCGTCATTATTTATTTGTCACGGCAAGCATTTCATTTTCTCCCAGCCGGCCATTTGCATAAATATGCTCTCTCGCGAACTCGCTGAAAGTAAAAATACAAAAATAAGACCGGCTACCACTTTTTGATTAGTGCAAAGCGGCCAAACAGGATCTCGGCAATAATTACGTCGCCTGCAATTACGCTGCTTCGCTGCAACGATAAGTTTTTTCGAAATTCACCACCTGTAAATGATCGTGCATCCAGTGGATTTCGTTCCGCCTCTTTTGCATTGTGTAACTATAATTTTTGACAGATACATCAAACGCGAGTTCCCCCACCCCAAAAATGGCGCGTCTGCAGTATACAGCGTCCCAAAAATGTTCCAAAAAAGCGGGGAAAAACAGGCGAGTTTGGCCGAACAAGAAGTCTTCGAAAAGCTCAAGGGGGTGGACCGTGGGGGCAACATGGGGCTGTGGATGACCTTTTTTCACAGCGCGAGCTACGGAGGCCACTCCTTCCGCAACCAAAGAGTCGGCAAACTAATGATACGAGAGCACGATTTCGTTTTGTTTATCACTTATAGAGGTAAGACCGCTCGAGTGAAATCTGGAGGTTACTACAAACAGTTTTAGGTAGCCACTTTGTAGCTCTAGTGGAAGTTAAATCCACCAATGACCAGAACTCCAATAAAAACAACCTGGAGAAGGTGAGTGATGCTAAAGTGATCAAAAACAACAAGCGGTCGGCGCAGCACCAGCTCAGGGACCACCTGGAGGTCCTCGAAGGAGTGCTCGGCGGCAACCCGCAAGAGAACGGGGTACAAAGCTACATCATGTGGCCTTTTCTGGGTGCCAACACCAAAGACCCCAAACAACAAACCGTGAAGCGGTGGAAAGAAGACAAGAATTTGCACGTGTTTGAAGACACGATTGAAGTCCAGGAGAAGTTCGACGGGTGGCTGTTGGAGACGGTACTCGCGGGCACGAACGTGCCCGAGGCCATCTTCGACGTCCTTTTGAACCGGTAAGTCCGAAGACGACTCCAGGTGTTTCAAACGACGATTTTTCCTAGATTCGTTATTTTGAGCTGTGGCGTCTTCGTCGACGAGATCGACCGGGGGTTGATGGCGCTCTTGACCCAAGAACAACTCGACCTCCTCCATTCCAACACGTGCCAACAATCCAAGGCTCTGGTGGTCCATGGGGCAGCCGGTACCGGTAAGACGCTTCTGGTTTTACGGAAACTCGAGTTGCTGCACCGAGCTGGTCGTCTCAATGAAGACAACCGAGCCTTGTATATTTGCTACTGGCCGGGAATTAGGTATGAGTTGGAGTTGAAGATGGAAGCTTTGGGGATTAGGGAGTTCGTGGACACGGCGAGATTTTACATCTCGATACCCGACTTCCTCAAGAACAACAAAAACGTGTACAAGCACGTCTTCATGGATGAAGCTGAAGCACTATGTCTCGCTTTGGATGATCGAATCATCAAAAACACTTTGGCGACGATCTACAAGAAGTACCACGATGGAAACTGCACTCGTTGTGGGTGCAACGAAGGCGAACTGCTCCCAGTGGAAAACATCACCGACAAGCTAAACCGTCATCAAGGAACAGCCACCTGGGGAGCGTTGTGGTTCATGGTAGACATCAACCAAGCGTCGCTTTTCCTCCCCAAGCACTCCCCCAAACTCCTCAAAACCCCCTCCATCCTCCTCACTAAAGTCATGCGCTCCACAGGCTACATCTTCACCGTGTTTAAACAATTCTACAGCGTCCCCATGCCTCTCCTCCCTAAGAAAATCCAAGACAGCATGCACATCCCGGAAATTACCATCGGGCACCACGTGTTCGGACCACCCATCTACTGGGTGGACTCGCAACACAATATAGACAAAGTCGTGGCTAAGGTCATCATTGATTTGTGTACCTCTAAGGGTTTCAAACCCCACGATTTGTGTGTCATTCCGTTTCTAGTCAATGAGAAGTTGGTTCCTGAGAGTATAAATAAGTACATTGATGAGGAGTTCGTGGAGAATAGTTTTCGTCCGAATGCTGTTAGAGACGTGGAGCACTTCTTGAAGTACAGAGAGATTAACAATTTTTTGATTGCGTGGGCGTTGAGAGTGAAGGGGTTGGAGTTCAAGGTGGTGATTATGGCGATCGATGAAGACGATTTTGATTTTAAGGATGCGGAGGATAGGAAGAAGGCGTATATAATGGCGTCGAGGTGCACCTCCATGTTGATTGTGGTTAGTAGGGAGGGGGTGCGGAACGACATGGAGTTGGCGGGGAGGTTCGAAAAGTATCCCTTTTCTAACGACTTATAAGTATTATATAATCAATCTGTGTTAAAATAGTATTAAATAGCCAAATATAATATTCAGAATTGGTGTCCCAATTTAATTTCATGTCTCTGGTCTCCCCTACACAGTGACTATAGTATTCATGGTACAATCTAACCTTACTTTGTTATCAGTGAGTATAAACATGGCTCAAAAGAAACTAGATCTTGCGGCTCTTACCGGCTTTTTGGACAAGTGTGAAGGGCTTGAGAAGATTTTCAAGGACAAGGTGTGACAACTTTTCCTCTATTGTTATCATTCTTGATATTATTGTAGATGGTAGTTCAGGAACTTGGCGACGGCAAATGTATAGCTGAACTAAAGGTTGACAAGAGCTTCCTGAACCCCCTAGGTGGACTACATGGTGGCGTTTCAGCCACTTTGGTGGATTGTATTTCCACCTATGCCCTCATGTCTCAAACGGGCGTCCCTGGAGTTTCCGTGGACATTCACTTAACGTCTGCTTGCACTTAAACATTGTGACTATTTTCTACGTTTTTTGGCTTTAGGTACTTGAAAGGAGCCCGACTTGATGATGTTGTGGTAGTTGAAGGTAGGGTCGAAAAAGTTGGCAAGACTTTAGCGTTTGTGGAGGCGGAAATAAAACACAAAGCCACTGGAGAGGTTCTAGTGAAAGGATTACACACCAAGTTTGTAGCAGCATGAAATTTTGGGTCTTCAGTTAAATAAAAGTTAGGTTAGGAGCAACAATTTTATTTTTTATTTATTGACATTGACCCGAATGACACGCCACTGGATTGTTTACTTTACAACAAAAATTACCCAAATTAACTAAAAACAGTGAAAAACGAGCAAACTAGACAGAAAGTTGATTAAAACTTACGGTTTTTACGGATTATAACAATACAAAAACCGAAAATGTGCATTTTTGCATGAACTATCAATTTAGTCATAGGCGTCGGCGTTTTTTTTTTCCACAAACAATAATAATACAACGCTAGACACCAATAACAGTAAAGAAAATAAGAGTTATAAATACGCAATAATCGTAAAAAACTCTTGTTGGAAGTGAAAATCCACTAATTAACAGTCTGATTCTTTGAGGTTAGGCATTTAAAAAAGACAGTAAGGGACCCCCGGGAAGCTTTCGAATTCCAAAAAAAAAAAAATGGCAGAGCGGGCCCCCGAGGTTTCACATTTTTAAAAAAATTAAGACAGAAGGGGCCCCGAGAAGGTTTCACATTAAAAAAAAAAAACACTATGAGGGGCACCCGAGAAGGTTTCATATTATTAAAAAAAATTATTGTAGGAGCCCAAGAAGATTTCACATTTGTAGGAAAAAAGACAAGGGGCCCCCGGGAAGTATTGTGTTCGTAAAAAAATGACAAAAGGGCCCCCCGAGAAGGTTTCACATTTAAAAAAGCCCCGGAGAAGGTTTATTATTATTAAAAAAAAAATACTGTGAGAGCCCCAAGAAGGTTTCACACTCGTACAAATGGGAGAAGGGACCCCCGAGAAGATTTCACATTTAAAAAAAGACAGTCAGGGGTCCCCGAGAAGGTTTATTACTATTTAAAAAATATACTGTGGGAACCCCAAGAAGGTTTCACATTTGTAAAAAAGACAGAAAGGGCCCCCGGGAAGGTTTCGAATTCTTAAAAAAATGGCAGAGGGGGCCCCCGAGAAGGTTTCACATTATTTAAAAACAAAACAATGGGGCCCCCGAGAAGCTTTCGCATTCTTAAAGAAGACAGTAGGGACCCCGGAGAAAGGGTTTTACTTTAAAAAAAAAAAAAAAAAAACTCCGAGAAGTTAAACGTTTTTGGAGACCGAAATAAAACATAAAGCCACTGGAGATGTGCTTATTAAAAAAAAGTTTGTTGTAGCTTGAAAACATTGGGGTTATAATTTGAAATAAAAGTGAGGTTAAGAACGACAATTTTATTTTTCGTTCATTTCGTTCAAATGATACGCCACTGGTTCGTTTTACCTTACAACAACAATCGAACAAAAATTAGTCACTAAATTGAACAAAAACTATAAAAAACAAATAAATTATACCGAAAATTGATAAAAAAAGGGGTTTTGCGAATAATAACAACACGAACACCGAAAATTATGGACTTTTGCATGAACTGTCAAATCAATCATAGGCGTCGGTATATTTTCCTACACAATAATAATAACCCCAAACACTAAAAAAGTTAATAAAATGGGAAAATTCGCACTTACAAACATACAATAATTGCAAAAAACCTCGTTAGTATCAAATATTCGATCTGACTTTTTGAGGTTAGGTCACCCAAAACCCGCACTCTGCCCACTTACGTAATAACAACACAACTGTTGCAAAAGACCACACGATGGCTTTCAGGGGCGCCGACGCTGCAGGTTTAATGCAATTTCTGCGAAGTTGCCGAAATTTTGATAAAGTTCTCGAAAAGGTGAGTCCAACTTGGTCCACTAGTGCCAAACTAACCCCATTCCTTCAGGTAACGATCCTCGCTCTTAGCGATGGCAAGTGCTCCGCGGAAGTCAAAGTGGACGAGAGCCACACGAACCCCATGGGGGGCTTGCACGGTGGATTTTCCGCCACGCTAGTTGATTGTATTTCCACGTACGCCCTCATGACGCAAGTGGCGGCCCCCAATGTGTCCGTGGACATTCACATGAGGTACGACTACGTGGTGGTTGGAATACGGTGTCAAAAATTTTGTTCTAGTTATCTCAAGGGGGCCAAGATTGGTGACGAGATTCTAGTCGATGCTAATGTGATTAAAAAGGGGAAAACGCTGGCGTTTCTTGATGTAGTGATTAAGAACAAAAGTAATGGCGACGTGTTGGTGAAAGGGTCACACACGAAGTTTATAATGCAATGACTAGACTGGTTTTAGCTAATTTATTTATTTTTGTATGATTTTGTCATAGTCAAGTGGTGATAAAGTTTTTCAGGTGTTTCTTTTTTTTTTTACTAAGCCCTGTATGTAATAATGTACTTGTAAAATGACGGTAATTTGTAGAGTCATGTTCATGGTTTTCTTATCAACGTTATCATTATGGCTGAATTGTATGAAAACTATTTATCAGAGTTGTTAGTTAGCTTTATAGAATCAACTGTGGCTGGAATACAAATTGTGTGAACATGATTCTGCCAATTCTTTACATAGTTAGCACTTTGGTAAACATCCATTTTTTTTCAATTTTTTATTTTTACTTTTACTTAATTCTAGGATGCTTTTTGTTTTGTGTTAGTTATTACTGCCGTAAATCCGTATGTTTACTCGTTAGGGGGCACCCAATTCTATTTGGGCGTCTTGAGCTCAGTTTCTTCCTTTATTAACCTAATTTGGAACCCCATTGTGGTAAGCAATTATTTTATTTTTAAAGTTAACACTTTCAAGTCGCTTTCTACGTTTCAGGGTAGTCTGAGTGACACTCTCGGCCGCAAAACCGTCCTCCTGCAATGCCTCTTGATATGTTTAGTGGGCAACATCATGACAGCCGCCACGTCATCCCTTCACCTCTTCTTCATTTCCCGAATAGTGACAAGTAAAACCAAAATCCGCCCTAAACACCAAAACAGTTTAAATTTTAGCATTCGGTGTCCAAATCGCAACCCTCCTTAAAGCCCTAGTAGATGACAATATACAAACAGAAGAGGCCAAAATGGCCGCTATTAATCGAATGCAAGCTTTGGGAGGGGCCTGCTTCATTTTCGCCTCTCTAGTCAGTGGATATATGAGCGAACTCGAAAACGGCTTCAAATACATATTTTATCTCATCAGCGCCGTATTCTTCGTAAATTTAGGTGCCGCATTTGGACACAAATCACCCTAAATCACACTAATTTTTTTTTCTAGTTTTGATGTCCATAATCCCCAACACCCACCCTAAAGTAACTAAAACCAAGGATAAACCCAAACAGGGCTTCAACGTGCTTGAAGTCGTGAAAAAAGCCACTGCCAACCTAACGAAAGTCGACTGGCCAAAGTATTGGGACCTTTTCACCATTAAACTCCTGACGGACTTCGTCTTCATGGTGTTCCACTTCAACTTAACTGAAATGTTGCTTAGACGTTTCGGTATCACTGGAAAAGCCTACGGTTACGTTTTCGCTTCAATTAGTGTGACTTCAATCCTCGTCACTTTAACAATGTCAAAGTTGAAGCAGTATTTTTACTCGGATGATAAATCAGGCCTGAAGCGACTCCTCCATGGCTGCATTTTATTCGTTGTCGCATTTTTGGGGTTAGGTTTAAGCGCGTCATTCGCTACGTTTTATATCTTTCTAATACCCACTTCAATCAGTCGGGTACTTTTAGAAAGCACTTTCATCGAAGTCATTCTAGCGAGAGCCGCCCCTCAAGAGAAAGGTACTATAATGGGGACCTTCGACACCACGCTTGCTCTTTCAGGGCTTACAGCCCCCTTGTTCTCGGGGCTTGTCTCCGACACGTGGGGCGCCGAAACCTGCATGTTGTTGTGCACGGTACCCCTAGCCTTCGCCACGACTCTCGCCTACTCACAAAGAAAGCGCAAACTTCAATAACTTTATTTACAACTAAATCACAATAAATTATAAACTTTTCTCTAGTGCTTTTATTCGATCCGCTTCTTGTTTCGCTTTGATTTTTTGAATGGACTCGAGGAATTGGCGCTGCTGGGTGGTGTCTTCCGGGGGGTACAACTCCCGTTTGGTTTTGACCACCCACTCTTCGAAGAGCTCGGGTTGGTTGAAGTAGTGGAAGAGCGCCACCGGGAAGGTGATATAAAGGGCCATTTTGCCAATTTCGAGCCGCCAGCTACCCATTTTAAGTCACAAACACCGCTTTTGCGAAAAAGTGAGGTTACGTTGGGTGGAAATGACAGCGAAGGGGTGATAGCCAATGACAGGTGGCGTTGAAGTCACGTGAGAGCACAGAGGCGGAATGAAAAACTATCATTAATTTATACATATTTATTGGGGGCTTGAAAACTCTAACTCTTCTGATTCTTCGAGCACCATTTCTTCCATCAGCGCCACCTTGTCTTCAATGATATTTCGCAACTTCATCATCGTGACGTGCAGAATTCGCACTCTTCCTCTATTCTTCAGGATAACCTCTTTCACAGCAGGGTCGAACGCTTCACCCTGACAACCAAAAGTCGCTTTTATATCTATAATTCGACTATAACAGTCTCACTTGCAAAAACTTCTTCTTTTCTTCAATCACCACAGATTCTTCACTCAACTGCCTACTCACTTCGCCGCTTTCTTCTTCACTTTCTTCAACCTTACTCAAACCCGGTATTTTTTTCAACAAGTAACGGTACACCTCGTCATTAACATTTAACAATTTCACCACAAAACTGATCAATTCTTGAACACAATCCAAACAGTGGATTTCGACTTGGGTGCGAAACCCATCAAAATTCCTCTTTACTTCATCCATGAAACTAGTGACGTTATCATGGATCCTGTCTCTGTTGATAACGGGACCATGCGATCCGTAGAAATTCTACAAAAAGACATTGTAGTTGTCAGATTCCTGTCAAAATTTTCGTGAAAATGGATCACAAAGTGCCCGAACCCCGTGGAGTCCCTCTGGGTCAACAGCGCCTGTGGGCCTACACCATCCAGAAAGAAGACAAACTTCGCCTCAAATGGTTCAAAAAGAACGAAAGTCGCCTGGACGAGATTGCAAACAAGGTATTTTTGAGACAAGTTCCTGAGGAAGTGAGAGACGAAATGAAGCAGAGGACGATGAATTGCTTAAAAAACGTGGAGCAGAAGCACACGGTTGTGAAGGAGGAGGAGCCGCCGATTGTGGAGGATTCGGCGCTCACCAACATCATGAGGCCCGTCCCGAAGGAAGTGAAGGATTTGTTGTACTCGAGTAGGTGGTCTAGGGTGTTATAAAGTGAGTATTGAGGGTGTTTTAGGTACCATGAAAGACGGGAGGATGATGTACTTAAAGGAGAGATACCAGGTAATACCCGAACTGCGGTACTATTTCCCAGAGACGACGAATTTCCAATATGGATGGAACATGTGGGATATGGATAGAAAGACGGGAGGGAGTCCGTTTGCGAGGCAACAAGTCATAAGAAAGTCATTCTACAGAAGAAGAGGGGTAAAGAGAGACCCGGAGTGGTACAAAGAACCGGCGAAATTGAGCCCACAAGTGTGCGGGCAGATTTAGAATTACTACCATGAGTACCGTTGTCTTTGTGTGTTGGTAGCGTTAAGTCCAATTTTGAAAAAAAATATATGGGTCGTAGTACTCACTTTGGATATTCTATATATTTCTCTAAACGAGTCCATAATCAGATCGTTGAGTTGATTTAAATATTCACCACTATCACGATTTTTTGCGTTGATTAAAATGTTCGTCATTTCTTCGATTTTCTGCAGACACTCTTGAATTGCGTCCTTCATGAGTTCGAAGTGTTTGCGTTTCCAGATCTCGAATCTTGATACTTCTGAGTAGTAGTCGATGCAGGCGTCTATTCTGTGGAGTTTGAATTTTGTGTCGTAGGCGGCTCTGCGGATTTTGTTTTGTAGGAGTTTGATTTTTTCACAGATTTTTTCGTTGTGCTCGAATTCCACCTTGGAGTGGTCCAACCTTAGTAAGCATTAGATATAAATTTTAATATCTAATACAGAAGGGGTACCGAGAAGGTTTCAAATTGTTGAAAGGGGTCTTCAAGAAGGTTTCAAATTACTAAAAAGAAGACAAATGGGATACCCAAGGTTTTACATTATCAAAAACAATACAAAAGAGTGCCCGAGAAGGTTTTAAATGATCAAAAACTGTACAAAAGGGGTACCGAAAAGTTTTCAAATTAATAAAAACAAGACAGAAGGGGTACCAAAAAGGTTTCAAATTATTAAAAACCCGAGAAGGTTTCACATTATCAAAAACAAAACAGATGGGATCCCCGAGAAGGTTTCAAATGATCAAAAAAAAAACAGAAGGGCCCTCCGAGAAGGTTTCAAATGATCACAAACAATATAGAAGGAGTACTGAGAAGGTTTCAAATTGTTGAAAACGAAAGAAGGGCTCCTCGAGAAGGTTTCAAATTACTAAAAACAAGGCAAAAGGGGTACCACAGGAAGGTTTCAAATTACTAAAAACAAGACAAAGAAAGTTTCACATTATCAAAAACAAGCCAGAAGGGGTGCCCGAGAAAGTTTCAAATTGTTGAAAATAAGAGAGAAGAGGTCCCCGAGAAGGTTTCAAATTTTCAAAAATTAGACAAAAAAGGTACCGAGAAGGTTTAAAATTAATAAAAACACGACAGAAGAGGTTCCCAAGAAGGTTTCAAATTATTAAAAACCCGAGAAGGTTTCAAATTATTAAAAACCCGAGAAGGTTTCACATTATCAAAAACAAGACAGAAAGGATCCCCGAGAGACTTACAAATTATCAAAAACAATACAGAAGGGGTACCGATAAAGTTTCAAATTGTTGAAAACGAGAGAAAGGGTCCTCGAGAAGGTTTCAAATTATTGAAAATGAGACAAAAGGGGTACCACGGGAAGGTTTCAAATTACTAAAAACAAGACAAAAGGGGCACCTAAAAAGGTTTCACATTATCAAAAACAAAACAGAAGCGGTTCCCAGAAGTTTTAAAATTATTGAAAATAAGAGAGAAAGGGTCCCCGAGAAGGTTTCAAGTTATCAAAAACAAGACAGAAGGGATACCGAGAAGGTTCAAAATTAATAAAAACAAGACAGAAGGAGTTCCCAAAAAGATTTCAAATTATTAAAAACCCGAGAAAGTTTCACATTATCAAAAACTAGACAGAAGGGATCTCGACAAGGTTTCAACTTATCAAAACAATACAAAAGGGGTACTGAGACGGTTTCAAACTGTTGAAAACAAGAGAGAAGGGGTCCTCGAGAAGGTTTCAAATTATTAAAAACAAGACAAAAGGGGTACCCAAGAAGGTTTTACATTATCAAAAACAATACAAAAGGAGTTCCCGAGAAGGTTTTAAATTATCAAAAACAATGCAGAAGGGGTAGCGAGAAGGTTTCAAATTATTGAAAACAGTAGAGAAGGGGTCCCCGAGAAGGTTTCAAATTATTAAAAACCCGAGAAGGTTTCAAATTTTCAAAAACAAGACAGAAGAGATCTCCGAGAAGGTTTCAAATTATCAAAAACAATGCAGAAGGGGTACTGAGAAGGTTTCAAATTGTTGAAAACAAAGAGAGAAAGGGTCCTCGAGAAGGTTTCAAATGATCAAAAAGCAGACAGAGGGGGTCTCCGAGAAGGTTTCAAATTATTAAAAACCCGAGAAGGTTTCACATTATCAAAAACCCGAGAAGGTTTCACATTATCAAAAATAAGACAGAAGGGATCCCTACAAGGTTTCAAATTATCAAAATAATACAAAAGGGGTACTGAGACGGTCTCAAACTGTTGAAAACAAGAGAGAAGGGGTCCTCGAGAAGTTTTCAAATTATTAAAAACAAGGCAAAAGGGGTACCACGGGAAGGTTTCAAATCACTAAAAACAAGACAAAAGGGGTACCCAAGAAAGTTTCACGTTATCAAAAACAAACCAGAAGGGGTGCCCGAGAAGATTTTAAATTATCAAAAACAATACAGAATGGGTATCGAGAAAGTTTCAAATTATTGAAAACAAGAGAGAAGGGGTCCCCGAGAACGTTTCAAATTTTCAAAAATAAAACAAAAAAGGTACCGAGAAGGTTTAAAATTAATAAAAACAAGACAGAAGAGTTTCCCGAGAAGGTTTCACATTATCAAAAACAAAACAGAAGGAATCCCCGAGAAGGTTTCAAATTAGCAAAAACAATACAGAAGGGGTACTGAGAAGGTTTCAAATTGTTGAAAACAAGACAGAAAGGGTCTTCGAGAAGGTTTCAAATTATTAAAAATAATACAAAAGGGGCACTTGAAAAGGTTTCACATTATTAAAAACAAAACAGAAGTGGTACCGAGAAGGTTTAAAATTATTGAAAATAAGAGAGAAACGGTCCCCGAGAAGGTTTCAAATGATCAAAAAGAAGACAGTAGGGGTCACCACGATGATTTCAAATTATTAAAAACCCGAGAAGGTTTCACATTATCAAAAACCCGAGAAAGTTTCACATTATCAAAAATAAGACCGAAGGGATCCTTGACAAGGTTTCAAATTATCAAAACAATACAAACGGGGTACTGAGGCGGTTTCAAACTGTTGAAAACAAGAAAGAAGGGGTCCCCAAGAAGGTTTCAAATTACTAAAAACAATACAAAAGGAGTACTCAAGAAAGTTTCGCGTTATCAAAAACAAGACAGAAGAGGTGCCCGAGAAGGTTTTAAATTATCAAAAGCAATACAGAAGGGTTACCGAGAAGGTTTCAAATTATTGAAGACAAAAGAGAAGAGATGCCCGAGAAGGTTTCAAATTTTTAACAATAAGACAAAAAAGGTACCGAGAAGGTTTAAAATTAATAAAAACAAGACAGAAGAGGTTCCCAAGAAGGTTTCAAATTATTAAAAACCCGATGTTTCACATTATCAAAAACAAGACAGAAGAGATCCCCGAGAAGGTTTCAAATTATCAAAAACAATACAGAAGTGGAATTGAGAAGGTTTCAAATTGTTGAAAACAAGAGAGAAAGGGTCCTCGAGAAGGTTTCAAATTATTAAAAATAACACAGAAGGGGTACCGAGAAGGTTTAAAATTATTGAAAATAAGAGAGAAGGGCTCCCCGAGAAGGTTTCAAGTTATCAAAAACAAGACAAAAGGTATAGCGAAAAGGTTTAAAACTAATAAAAACAAGACAGAACGGGTTCCCAAGAAGGTTTCAAATTATTAAAATCCCGAGAAGGTTTCACATGATCAAAAACAAGACAGAAGGGGTACCGAGAATGTTTCAAATTATCAAAAACAATACAGAAGGGGTACTGAGAAGGTTTCAAATTGTTGAAAACAAGAGAAAAATGGTCCTCGAGAAGGTTTCAAATGATCAAAAAGAAAACAGAAGGGGTCTCCGAGAAGGTTTCAAATTATTAAAACCCGAGAAGGTTTCACATTATCAAAAACAAGGCAGAAGGGATCCCCGAGAAGGTTTCAAATTATCAAAAACAATACAGAAGGAGTACTGAGAAGGTTTCAAATTGTTGAAAACAAGACAGAAAGGGTCTTCGAGAAGGTTTCGAATAATCAAAAAGAAGATAGAAGGGGTCTCCGAGAAGGTTCCAAATGATCATAAACAAGACAGTAGAGACCCCCGAATGGGCCCTGAGAAGGTCAGATTCTTTAAAAAAAGACAAGAGTAATTGTTTCACATAAAAAAATTGGTAGACAGAACTTTCCTTGTCCTTCAAGTAGAATACAACTTATCCAAAATTTTCCAAAATGTATAAAATATTGTTCTGTGAATTTATTTTTTACGCTAACTCCTTCCTATAAGTCCAATTTTTCGATTTTCAATTTCTAGAGTTTTTCTTTCTTTATTTTTCGAATTTTTTATCTTTCAGTTTATTGTTTCTTCAGTTTTTCGATTTCAGTCTGTCAAATTGAAACTGTGTCTCACTTTTTGTCTTTTTGTTTTTTTTTTTTTAATTTTTTGACTTTCAGTTTGAGATTTTTCGATTTTCGAAAGTTTCGATACTTCAATTTGCAATTTTTAATTTTGTGATTTTTTGGGTTTTCAAGTCTAAATTTTTCAGTTTTTTCATATTTTATTGCGTAATTTACGATTTTTATATTTGACCATTGCCTAATCTTGGATTTTTGGAGGTTTGAATTTTAAATTTTTCAGTTTTTCGCTTCACTTTTTGTATTTGCAATTTTCTGATTTTCTAACTTTTCGATTTTTATTTTTTCTTAGTTTTTTCAAATTTTAGTTTCTCGATTTTCAGTTTTTCAATTTTTTAACTTTCATTTTCAATTTATAGATTTTAAAGATTTTCGATTTTTCAGTTTCTTTGTTCGCTCAATTTGCAATTTTTACATTTTGCCATTCAATTTTTGAATGTGACATTTCTCAAGGTTTTAATTTTCATTTCTTTTTTTTTTCAATTTTTGGATGTCAATTTTTCAACTTTCTTTCCGCAATTTTTAGAGGTTTTAATTTTAAAAATGTTCCATTTTTCGATTTTTCAACTTTCGAAAATTTCGACCTTTCAGGATTTTGTTTGTTGAATTTGCAATTTTTTTATTCTACCATTCAATTCTTCGATTTGAAATTTCTCAATTTCATTTCATTTTCATTTTTTATTTCTTCAGTTTATAAATTTACTTTTTACGATTTTTACAGTTTTCCTTTTCAAAAATTTTGGATTTTTCGATTTTTCAACTTTTGAAAAGTTTCGATCTTTGTTTCTTCCACTGCATTTTTTACATTTCACCATTGTTTGAGCTTGCAATTTTTCGATTCAGTTTTTCTACTTGCAGTTTTTAATTTTACGATTTTTGTATTTTTTTATTTTTTTGAAGTTTTTAATTTTTCACTTCAATTTTCCAATTTGCGATTTTGAGATTGTTTCACACTATTAAAAGAAAAATGGTAGAAGGTTATTTCGACAGAACTTCCCTCAAAATGATGATATGAAATTTGATTTTGCGATTTTTTTTTTTTATAATAAATTTGTGATTTTTGGATTTCAATCGTTCAATTTTTCATTTTTTCTCGATATCCAATTTTTAATTTTCTTAAATTTTTGGTTGTTTTTTTTTAATGACAGCGGGTTCCCCAAGAAGGTAATAAAAATACGTCCTTTTGAAAATTCTTACCTAGCCAAAATGGCAGCTTGTGACTTAATAAATTTCTGCGTCGTATCATTCTTCATAGCGTTATACTCCGCCATAATTTTCTTATACTTCTTCGGCACCGTCTTCTTTATCTTCAGAATCCTCTTGTTAAACAACTTCGCCTCATCCCGACTATAGTCACCACCTTCTGCAAACAACCTAGAAAGAATTTTCACTCAAACCCCAACAAGAACCGAACCAACTCACTTGATGGAGGCGTTAAAACGACAAATAACCTTATCAATCTTCTTCCTATTCTCCTCCAACACTTTAAAATTCTCAGTAAAAGTTCCTTCAATCTTCTTTATGACCTCATCACCCACGTGTTTCGTCTGTTCGATGCAGGCAGCAACTTCGTAGCTCTTTTTGGCTCGTTGCAGCTTTTCCTCGATCCCTCTGAGGAACCGTTCGTACTCTTGAATTATTTGAACGCGATTTTCTTCGCAGAGGTAGGTGAAACTAGACGAATCCACTAGGTATTTTTTGATCCTCTGGAAAAAATCGGTAAAATAACTAAGTCACAGTGATTTAAAAAAAACCTCCTCCACTCTGTTTAGACCTTCTTGGTGCTCATTGATTTCCTTCAACCTGGCGTCATAAATCGCGGTCTTTATTCTATGGTAGCGAGGTTCATGGGACGCCTGTCTCACCTCCCGTCGTTTCTTCAGCTTCACTGACGTCGTTTCCACCCAATAATTCGTTTGAGAGGTTAATTCTTTGCGACAAGTCTCCATATAGCGACGAATCGCCTCCCATAACCTGTTATTGTTCACCGTCATTCTAGATCTACTAATCCCACACTCCTACCCAAACATCCAGTTATTAACAGCTTCCACCTGGAACTGACACGCTTTCATCTGGTGCGGGATCAGTTCATCCTGGGGATTCTCCACGGGCACTTCTTCGTTCGACTCGTCCTTCAGATCCTCTAACCTCGAGCTCCTTTTTTCCCGAATGTTGGTATTCTTCCCACTCTCACTCAAAAACCTGTCGATTTCGCTTATCAAGAAGTCGATTTCTTGGTCCATGAACTTCTGGTACTTCTGTAGAACTTGGATTTCGGCGTCGCACTGCGAATAGTACAATTTCCCGATGGAATCCGTGAATTTGTTGGCTTCTCGGAGATGCTCGTTGAGTTTTTCGATGGTGGAGTCCTCCCGGAGCTTGTCTAACGTGGTGTTGATCTTCTTGTCGAAGCTGCAGGCGGCTTGGTCGTGCTTTTCTATCACTAGCCTCAAGTCTTGGAATACCAGCTGGGTGAACTCCTGGACTCGGGCGAAGTGGGGGTCCCAGAGGTGGGAGGTGCCGTTGAGGAAGAAGTAAGTGTTCTGGATGTTGGATTCCATGTAGATCGTCACGGTGTTCCATAAATCCTAGACGATTTGTGGTTCAAATTAAAAAAAAAAAGTGACATTTGGAAAAATAAACCTTCAAGTCTGCCATATCACACTGATACGTTTGTGCTATATCATTGGCGATGTCTTTGTACATATCGTCCTTCAAATATGTTGTGTCACTTAGAATCGTGCTCGCGGGTTCATCTTCCAAAAGTACGTTCATCACGTTCTTCATCTGTTCAAACAAGCGGTTGAAACTGTGAATTACGGCCGCTTTGTACATATTTATGAGTTTCCTGGAGTTGGAGTCTAGTTCGTCTAGAGTTTTCTGGATGTGTTTCGACCATATTCCTACATCGTCGGCGGTGAGTGGCAAGCCCGTGGCGAAAGAAGGTTCGTTGAGATCTTCCACTGCCATGCCGGTCAAGTGGCCGGGTTTATAGAAACCTCTGGGGTTGTTTTAAAAAATTTAAGGAAGATTGTGAAATGTGGGGATACTCACACAACTCCTTTCACTTTTATCCATTTCAGGGCTCTCCTGTGGCGCTCTTTGGCTACGGTTAGTTCCAGGTGGAAGGTGCGGGAGTCTTCCTGAATTTGTAGCTTGAGGTCTGACTGGATCTTCGAGTAGTAGCGGTAGTTGTTCATCGTAATTTCGTTCAGTTTCTGGAAAAATAATATCTGATTGTTAGTTGAATGAAACAGTTGTAACCATTTTTTGGAAAAATTTTGAAAATTAGAAATTCGCTTTGTTGTAGTTTTACAATTTTGCCAATTTCAAACTTTGCGATTTTCCGATTTTGGGCTATTTCGATTTCTCGATGATTCAATTTTTCAATGTTTCGATGTTGATTTTTTAATTTTTTAATATTTCAATTTTCCGATTTTTCAAATTTTTGATTCTCGACATCTCAGTTTTTCGATTTTTAAAATTTTTTGTACTTCTCGATTTTAGATTTTTCAATTTTTCAATTTTTCAACTTTTTGATTTTTTACCTCTTAATTTTTCAATTTTGAGCTATTTTGATTTATCGGTTTTTTGATTTTTCAATTTCTTAATTTTTGAGTTTTCCATTCCTCAATAAGTAACCTTGGGCCAATTTTTTGACTTTTCAAATTTTCCATTTTTCGACATTTCGGTTCTTTGACTTCCAAAATTTTTCGACTTTTCAACTTTTGGGTTTTTCGATTTTAAAGAGTTTTATTTTTTCCATTTTTCAATCTTCCGGCTTTTAAATTTTTCGATTTTTCTGTTTTTCGATTGTTTAGTTTCCCTATTTTTCGATTTTTACATTTAAATTTTCTTGATTTTTCGATTTTGGATTATTTTGATTTCTCCATTTTTCGGTTTCTCGCTTTTTCGATTTCTCGATCTCTTGATGTTTCGATTTTCTCTGTTTCAATTTTTCAATTTTTCAGTGTTTGATTTTTTGTTTTCCCAAGTTTTTCAATTTCTCGTTTTATTTTTATTTTTCAGTTTTACTATTTTTCCTTTTTAAAATTTTGAGTTATTTTGATTTATCGGTTTCTCGATTTTTCAGTTTTTCAACGTTTTAGTTTTGGGATTTTTCAATTTCTTAATTTTTCAGTTTTCCATTCCTCAATTTTTTGATTTTTGAAAGTAACCTTGAACCAATTTTTTGACTTTTGAATTTTTCGATTTTTTTATATTCTAGATTTTTCGATTTCTCGTTTTTTATTTATTTTTCAATTTTGCTACTTCTCGATGTTCGGATTTCCTGATTTTTGAATTTTTTTGACTTTTCAAGGTTTCGATTTCTCGACATTTCCATTCTTTGACTTCCAAAATTTTTCGGTTTTTCGACTTTTGGGTTTTTTGATTTTAAAAAGTTTTAATTTTTCCATTTTTCAATCTTCCGGCTTTTAAATTTTTCGATTTTTTTTTGTTTTTCGAATGTTTAATTTCCCTATTTTTCGATTTTTACATTTAAATTTTCTTAATTTTTCGATTTTAGGTTATTTTGATTTCTTCATTTTTCGGTTTCTCGCTTTTTCGATTTCTCGATCTCTTGATGTTTCTATTTTCTCTATGTTCCAATTTTTCAATATTCCGTGTTTGATTTTTTGTTCTCCAAAGTTTCTCGATTTCTAGTTTTTGTTTATTTTTCAGTTTTACTATTTTTCCTTTTTAAAATTTTTAATTTTTCCATTTTTAGATTTTTTATTTTTATATATTATTTCTTCGAATTTTCAGTTTTTCAATTTTTCAATTTTTAGTTTAACGATTTACCAAGATTTCGATGTTTCGACTTTTCGATTGTTCAGTTGCACGATTTTTGCATTTTAAATCTTTTAATTTTCAATTTTTCGATTTCCCTATTTTTGGACATTTCAGTTTTGGAATTTTTCAATTTCTTGAGTTTTAACTTTTTCGATTTCTCGTTTTTTTTTATTTTTCAGTTTTACTATTTCTCTTTTTTGAAATTTATAATTTTTCGATTTATAAAATTTTTAATTTTTTGTATTATTTCTTCAATTTCAGTTTTTCAGTTATTAAATTTTTATATTTTTCGATTTCTCGATCTCTAGATGTTTCAATTTTCCGCATTTTTCAATTTTTGATTTTTCGATTTTCCAATTTTTCGATGTTCCGATTGCTCAATTTTTTAATTTTTTAATATTTCAATTTTCCGATTTTTCAAATTTTTGATTCTCGACATCTCAGTTTTTCAGTTTTTAAAATTTTTTGTACTTCTCGGTTTTAGATTTTTCAATTTTTCAACTTTTTGATTTTTTACAAATTTTTCAATTATGAGCTATTTTGATTTATCGGTTTTTCGATTTTTCAGTTTTTTAACGTTTCAGTTTTGGGATTTTTCAGTTTTCCATTTCTCAATTTTTTGATTTTTGAAAGTAACCTTGGACCAATTTTTTGACTTTTGAATTTTTCGATTTTTTATATTCTAGATTTTTCGATTTCTCGTTTTTTTTATTTTTCAATTTTGCCACTTCTCGGTGTTCGGATTTCCCAATTTTTGAATTTTAAAAATTTTAATTTTTTTGACTTTTCAAATTTTCGATTTCTCGACATTTCGGTTCTTTGACTTCCAAAATTTTTCGGCTTTTCGACTTTTGGGTTTTTTGATTTTAAAAAGTTTTAATTTTTCCATTTTTCAATCTTTCGGCTTTTAAATTTTTCGATTTTTATGTTTTTGGAATGTTTAATTTCCCTATTTTTCGATTTTTACATTTAAATTTTCTTAATTTTTCGATTTTAGGTTATTTTGATTTCTTCATTTTTCGGTTTCTCGTTTTTTCGATTTCTCGATCTCTTGATGTTTCGATTTTCTCTATGTTTCAATTTTTCAAATTTTCAGTGTTTGATTTTTTGTTTTCCCAAGTTTTTAGATTTCTCGTTTTTGTTTATTTTTCAGTTTTACTATTTTTCCTTTTTAAAATTTTTAATTTTTCCATTTTTAGATTTTTTATTTTTATACATTATTTCTTCGATTTTTCAATTTTTAAATTTTTAGATTTTTCGATTTCTCGATTTCTTGATGTTTCGATTTTCCGCATTTTTCAATTTTGGATTTTTCGTTTTTCCAATTTTTCGATGTTCCGATTTTTCAATTTTTCGATTTTCCAATTTTTTGACCATTCAGTTTTGGGATTTTTCAGTTTTTCGATTTCTCGCTATTTTTATTTTCAGTTTTACTATTTTTCCCTTTTAAAATTTTTAATTTTTCGTTTTTTAAAATTTCTAATTTTTTAAATTAATTTTTCAATTTCAATTACAATTTTTCGGTTTTTAAATTTTTCGGTTTTTCAGTTTTTCTGTTTACCGAGATTCAATGTTTCGACTTTTGGATTGTTTAATTTTTTGATTTTTTTTTCGATTTTTAAATATTATATTTTTCGATTTCTCGTTTTTTTTTTGATTTTTCAATTTTACTATTTCTTGATTTTTTATTTTTTTTAAATTTCAATTTTTCGACTCTTTCAATATTTCGATTTTTCAATCTTCCGGTCTTTAAATTTGTCGATTTTTATGGTTTTAGATTATTTAATTTTTCGATTTCACGATTTATCTACATTTCGATGTTTCCATTTTTCGATTGTTCAACTTCCATATTTTTCGATTTTTTACATTTAAATTTTCTTAATTTTTCCATTTTCGAATTGTAGATTTTTCAGTTTCTTAATTTTTCAGTTTTTGATTCTTCAATTTTTTGATTTTTCAATTTATCAATTTTTTAAATTTTTGATTTTTCAGTTTCAATTACAATTTTTTGGTTTTTAAATTTTTCGGTTTTTCAGTTTTTCTGTTTACCGAGATTCAATGTTTCGACTTTTCGATTGTTCAATTTCTCGATTTTTCGATTCCTCAATTTTTTGATTTTTTTTCGATTTTTAAATTTTATATTTTTCGATTTCTGTTTTTTTTTTCAGTTTTACTATTTCCTGATTTTTTATTTTTTTTAAATTTCAATTTTTCGACTATTATTAATATTTGCATTTTTTAATCTTCCGGTCTTTAAATTTGTCGATTTTTATAATTTTCGACTATTTATTTTTTCGATTTCACGATTTATCTACATTTCGATGTTTCCATTTTTCGATTGTTCATCTGCCCTATTTTTCGATTTTTTACATTTAAATTTTCTTAATTTTTCGATTTTCGAATTGTAGATTTTCGATGCTCCGATTTTTAAACTTTTTCGATTTTTCAGTTTCTTAATTTTTCAGTTTTCTATTGTTCAATATTTTGATTTTTCAATTTTTCCATTTTTTAAGTTTTAGATTTTTCGATTTCTCGTTTTTTGATTTTTCAGTTTTACTATTTTTCGATGTTCCGATTTCCTGATTTTTAAATTTTTCAAAATTTAAATATTTTCGACTGCGATTATTGGCATCTCGATTTTCGCAATTTAAAAATTTTTCACTTTCTCGGTTTTTAAAATTTTCAATTTTGAGATTTTTCAATTTTTTAACTTATATTTTCGTTTTTTTTTTTTAATTTTAAATTTCTTGATTTGTTGTTTTTTCTTTTATTTTCAGTTTTACTATTTCGTTTTCTCGATTTTATAATTTTTTAATACATATTTCAATTTTTCGAATTTTTGATTTCTCGAAATCACGATTTTTCTACTTTTCTACTTCCCGGTTTTAGATTTTTCAATTTTTCAAATCTTCTATTTTCGATATTTTTTACGTTTTACATTTTTCAATTTTTAATTTTTGGATTTTCAATTTTTCGAATTTCCAATTTTTCGATGTTCGTATTTTTCGTCATCTGAGATTTTTCAATTTCTTGTTTTTTCAGTTTTTCGATTCCTCAATTTTTAGATTTTTGAATTTTGGGATTTTTCGTTTTGTTAATTTTTCAGTTTTACTATTTTTTAATGTTCCGTTTTCCCGATTTTTACATGTTTTAACAGTTTTTAAAAAATTTCGACTTTCCGATTTCTCAATATTTCAAGTTTTCAATTTCTCAGTTTTTCAAGTTTTTAATTTCTTAACTATTCAACATTTCAATTTTAGCAATTTTTCAATATTTCGATAGTTTAATTCTTCGATTTTTTAAATGTTAGATTTTTCGATTTTTTGATGTTACGATTGATCGGTCATTCGATATTTTTTCGGTTTTAAAAATTCTTGAGTTTTCAATTTTTCAGTTTTTCGAATTTTAAAATATTTTGCTTTCTCAATTTTTTGAATTAGTGACATTCCGAACTTTCAATTTCTCGATACATATTTCGATTTTTCAGTTTTTAAACTTTTCGAAAAGCTTATAAATATATTTTTATTTGCGATCTTAAAACGCCCGAAACTACCGACTCGATTACTTCACTTAACATCATAAAAACTTACCACAATTTCATTTTCGAAATACTGCATCAAATCGTAAGGCAACAAGTGGCAAATCTTCTCCATCTTCCGATACGCCTCATTCAATACCCCCTTGAAACGTTTCGACCTCTCCATCTCCAACGCCTTCAATTTCTCGTAGTGCTCATCAATAATCTTAAACCTCTTCTCGTCGAACTCATGAACCCGTAGCGGCAAAGTCCGGAAAATGCTTGGGTCCAGACCAACCAATTCTTCTTTCTCGTAATTGAAAACCTTCGTCTCATTCTTCACTTCATTCTTGATCTTTTCCAGAGTTTCCAGAAGACGCACACTCTCTTTCCTCATTTCTTCCTCCAGTTCGAGATCGTGTCTGCGGAATTCGTCTTTGATGAAACTAACTACGGCATTGTGGCTCTTTTCGCGCTTGGATAGGAGCCTCTGGATGGCGGCAGATGGTGAAGAGACTGGAGCTAGAAGAAGAAATAGACGAGTTGAAGAAAGAAGAAAAAGAATGGGGTACCGATGTTGGCTGGAAGAGTAACCGCATCGATGTAATCTTGAGTAAGGGGACGAAAACTCATTTTCAAAAAATCTGTCAATGATTTGTCAAAAAACAGAGATCTGTAATATCGGCCAAAGCGCCCTCTGTGTGTTTACACTATAAGCGGGTTTGACACTTACGCATGATAGCGGCACCCCCATGGCGTTTGTGAGTCACAGTTGGCTAGTGTCAAGCGCAGTGGTTTTTTAAAAAATTTATCACCCATTTTCGAAGTGTTGTAGCAGTGATTCAACCCTATTCGAGTCAAAATGGCTTTAAAAGCGCAAGTTGGAATAAGTAAGTGATTTTTTAAGCTTGTCCGTGGTTAAAACCACCGAAACCGACTTTGACAGTTGTCAAGTGGCACAGTTCCGCAAATTGTGTGTCAGGGCTTCGCCCCATTTTTTGTAACGCGTTTGTGACACCCCACTGGATTGTGAGTTCGTTTTTTTTTGTTAATTTTTCGTTTTTATCGATTCGATGCCGCAATCTAGTGGGGTGCGAGTGACGTCACAAACGTCAATATTAAGTGTCAAACCTACCCCAAGTATTTCTACATTTTGTACAATGAATTTTAGAAATCATGAACGAAGTGGTCAAGCTAAAAGCTTTGAAGAAGAACGGTCCGGCAGGGGGGCACGGGCTCGAGTGGCGCGTTTTAGTCGTGGACCAACTTGCCATGAGAATGGTATCGGCGTGCTGCAAAATGCACGATATTTCAGCCGAGGGGATCACACGTAAGTTACGCGATATTAAAGGAAGGTGTTCACGTGTTTGTCGTAGTTGTGGAAGATATACAGAAGAAAAGGGAACCTCTGGCTACTATGGAAGCAGTCTACCTTATAACCCCGTCAGAGAAGTCTGTGCATTTTTTGATCGCCGACTTTGATGGGTCCAGGCCCATGTATAAAGCCGCACACGTATTCTTCACAGAAGGTAAATAAATAATCCCGATTTTAAAATCAAGTAAAGATTGAAGATGGTGTAACTTTGTGAGATATGCAACCCACAATACACACGTGTACTACGAGTTGCCTATTTACAGGCGCCGGTTTTGTGTTTCGTGACCCGGCATATCTTACAAGGTGGCTCGTATCAGGACAGGATCCATATTTATTGTTGATAATTTCCAACAGCATGTCCAGATACCCTATTTAGCGAGTTGTGCAAGCATCGGGTAGCCAAATCTATTAAAACTTTAAAAGAGATTAACGTGGCTTTTATTCCATGCGAACAACAGGTATTCAACCTTTAATTATATGGTAGCTTGTGCTTCTAACAATCCTTGAAAAGTGTGGGTTACACCGACTAACACGTGTTGATCACCCAGATCACCAAAAGTCTTCTCTATTGTCAAAATTGTCACAATTTCGGCAGTAGAGAAGCGACTTTTGTCGAACGATTTATTAAAAATTTGTTGTCTTCTGCGACAGTCTGCCCAGAAGAACTGTTCAATGAGCTGTGCAAGTCTTGTGCAGCCAAGAAAATAAAAACTTTAAAAGAGATCAACATTGCCTTCTTGCCGTATGAGTCACAGGTGTGTTGTTTGCTATTAACATGTGCATGGGTTTTGTGCTTGAGTATTGGTTTCGTGTTGTTTTAATTAATTGTTCAGTTTTTTTTTAATCAACAAGTTAAAACCTAGCGATTCCCGCATGTCTTTTTCTTCATTTTCGTCCCACTGGTGTAAAAGCAACCATTACTCGTTTATTCTTGTAGGTGTTCTCTTTGGACTCCCCTGAAACGTTCCAATGTAGCTACAGCCCGAGTTGGGCCCACGCCCGTAACGCCAACATGGAACGAATGGCTGAACAAATCGCCACGTTGTGTGCCACCTTGGGCGAATACCCATCGGTCAGATACAGAAGGTAACCATCACGGTACTGATTTCCAGACTTTGAGACAATTTTTCTAGCGATTGGGACCGAAACGTCGAGCTCGCGCAACTTATTCAGCAAAAACTGGACGCTTATAAAGCCGACGAGCCCACGATGGGCGAAGGGCCCGAGAAAACGCGCTCCCAGCTCCTCATCCTCGACCGCGGGTTCGACTGCGTCTCGCCGCTCCTCCACGAGTTGACATTCCAGGCTATGGCGTACGACTTGCTCGACATCAACAACGACGTCTACAGATACGACGCTTCGTCGGGCGATGGGGCCAAGAAGGAGGTGCTTTTGGACGAGAACGACGAATTGTGGGTGGAGTTGCGTCACCAGCATATCGCTATTGTGTCGCAGAGCGTCACCAAGAACTTGAAGAAGTTCACGGACTCGAAGCGGATGACGCAGAGCGATAAGCAGTCGATGAAGGATTTGTCGCAGATGATTAAGAAGATGCCGCAGTATCAAAAGGAGTTGTCCAAGTATGCGACGCACTTGCATTTGGCGGAGGATTGTATGAAGGCGTACCAGGGTTATGTGGATAAGTTGTGTAAAGTGGAGCAGGTGAGTGTAGGTTTGGTGAAAATTAAAAAATTAGGTTGGCAACGTTAAGGCGTTTTTTGGTTGGTTTGACGGTTTCGGTCTAATAAAAAAAAAACAAAGACAGCCGGGGACTCTGAGAAGATTTTAAATTAAAAGAAAAAATCAGAAGAGACCCCAGAGAAGGTTTCACTTTCTTTAAAAAAAGACCCCGAGAAGATTTCACATTAAAAGAAAAATTCAGAAGAAACCCCCAAGAAGGTTTCACATTAAAAAAAAAGACAGTAGGGGGGCTCAAGAAGATTTCATGTTAAAAGAAAAAATCAGAAGAAACCCCCGAGAAGGTTTCACGTCCTTAAAAAAAAAAGACAGAAGGTTTTACATTAAAAGAAAAAATCAGAAGAGACCCCCGAGAAGGTTTTACATTAAAAGAAAAAAATCAGAAGAAACCCCCGAGAAGGTTTTACATTAAAAGAAAAAATCCAAAGAGACCCCCGAGAAGGTTTTACATTAAAGGAAAAAAATCAGAAGAGACCCCCGAGAAGGTTTTACATTAAAAGAAAAAATCAGAAGAAACCCCCGAGAAGGTTTTACATTAAAAGAAAAAATCCAAAGAGACCCCCGAGAAGGTTTCACTTTCTTTAAAAAAAGACACTACGGGGCCTCGAGAATATTTCATATTAAAAGAAAAAATCAGAAGAGACTCCCGAGAAGGTTTTACTTTCTTAAAGAAAAGATGAGGGGCCCAACGAAGATTTCACATTAAAAAAAAAGACAGAAGAGACCCCCGAGAAGGTTTTACATTAAAAGAAAAAAATTAGAAGAGACCCCCGTGAAGGTTTCACCTTCCTTAAAAAAAAAGAGTAGGGGCCCCGAGAAGGTTTTACATTAAGAGAAAAAATCAGAAGAGACCCCTGAGAAGGTTTTACATTAAAAGAAAAAATCAGAAGAAACCCCCGAGAAGATTTTACATTAAAAGAAAAAATCAGAAGAGACCCCCGAGAAGGTTTTACATTAAAAGAAAAAGTCAGAAGAGACCCCCGAGAAGGTTTTACATTAAAAGAAAAAAATCAGAGGAGACCCCCGAGAAGGTTTTACATTAAAAGAAAAAAATCAGAAGAGATCCCCGAGAAGGTTTTACATTAAAAGAAAAAATCAGAAGAGACCCCCGAGAAGGTTTTACTTTCTTAAAGAAAAGATGAGGGGCCCAACGAAGATTTCACATTAAAAAAAAAGACAGAAGAGACCCCCGAGAAGGTTTTACATTAAAAGAAAAAAATTAGAAGAGACCCCCGTGAAGGTTTCACCTTCCTTAAAAAAAAAGAGTAGGGGCCCCGAGAAGGTTTTACATTAAGAGAAAAAATCAGAAGAGACCCCTGAGAAGGTTTTACATTAAAAGAAAAAATCAGAAGAAACCCCCGAGAAGATTTTACATTAAAAGAAAAAATCAGAAGAGACCCCCGAGAAGGTTTTACATTAAAAGAAAAATTCAGAAGAGACCCCCGAGAAGGTTTTACTTTCTTAAAGAAAAGATGAGGGGCCCAACGAAGATTTCACATTAAAAAAAAAGACAGAAGAGACCCCCGAGAAGGTTTTACATTAAAAGAAAAAAATTAGAAGAGACCCCCGTGAAGGTTTCACCTTCCTTAAAAAAAAAGAGTAGGGGCCCCGAGAAAGTTTTACATTAAGAGAAAAAATCAGAAGAGACCCCTGAGAAGGTTTTACATTAAAAGAAAAAATCAGAAGAAACCCCCGAGAAGATTTTACATTAAAAGAAAAATTCAGAAGAGACCCCCGTGAAGGTTTTACTTTCTTAAAGAAAAGATGAGGGGCCCAACGAAGATTTCACATTAAAAGAAAAAGACAGAAGAGACCCCCGAGAAGGTTTTACATTAAAAGAAAAAAATTAGAAGAGACCCCCGTGAAGGTTTCACTTTTCTTAAAAAAAAAAGAGTAGAGGCCCCGAGAAGGTTTTACATTAAGAGAAAAAATCAGAAGAGACCCCTGAGAAGGTTTTACATTAAAAGAAAAAATCAGTAGAAACCCCCGAGAAGATTTTACATTAAAAGAAAAAATCAGAAGAGACCCCCGAGAAGGTTTTACATTAAAAGAAAAAATCAGAAGAGACCCCCGAGAAGGTTTTACATTAAAAGAAAAATTCAGAAGAGACCCCCGAGAAGGTTTTACATTAAAAGAAAAAAATTAGAAGAGACCCCCGTGAAGGTTTCACTTTTCTTAAAAAAAAAAGAGTAGAGGCCCCGAGAAGGTTTTATATTAAGAGAAAAAATCAGAAGAGACCCCTGAGAAGGTTTTACATTAAAAGAAAAAAAATTAGAAGGGACCCCCGAGAAGGTTTCACTTTCTTAAAAAAAAGATGAGGGGTCCAAAGAAGATTTCACATTAAAAGAAAAAGACAGAAGAGGCCCCCAAGAAAGTTACACTTTCTTAAAAAAAAAGACAGGGAGCTCCGAGAAGATTTCATATTAAAAGAAAAAGACAGTAGGAGGCCCCGAGAAGGTTTTACATTGAAAGAAAATAATCAGAAGAGACCTCTGAAAAGGTTTCACTTTATTAAAAAAAATCAGAACGGGGCCCCGAGAAGATTTTACATTATTAAAAAAAAAATTGGACAAAATATAAGCCCCGCCCACCCACCCCTTCTCAATTGTGATGACGGATGAATGTTCTATCTCTAGAATTTATACATTTTTTGGGTCATTTTCGCTTAACGTTCAAATTTTCTCAAAAACAATTGCATGGTATTTTTTTATTTTTTTTTTATATATATAAATATATAGAGTTTTCTTTCAACAACAGGAAAGTTAAACATGTTTTTAGTTTCTTGTTGGGAAAAGAAAACTTCATATATTAAGAAAAAATGGACCAAATATAAGCCCCACCCACCCACTCCTTCTCAATTGTGATGAATGTTTTATTCATCGTGAGCTGAAGGGCGGAGTTTAGTTGCAAAATCCTCGTTTCTCTACAAGAAATTATTATATGAAACTCATCACAATTGAAATTGGAGTGGGTGGGTGGGGCTTAATCTTCGTTTTTTTTAATGTATAGAATTTTTTCTCAACACCAGGACAGTTAAACATGTTTTCAGTTCCTTGTTGGGAAAAGAAGACTACGTATATTGAGAAAAGGGGACAAAATATAAGCCCCGCCCACCCACCCTGTCTCAATTCTGACGAATATTTTATTCATCATGAGCTAAAGGGCGGAGTTTAGTTTGCAAAATACCCATTTCTTTACAACAATTACTATATGAAATATGTTTTTAAAAGGGTAGAATTTTTTAGAGAAATTTTGATGTTACGATTAAACTCCACCCTTCGGTCTGATTGGGAATGAAAAACTCATCACAATTGAGATCGGGGCGGGTGGGTGGGATTTAATTTTTGTTTTTCTTTTTTTAATCTATTGAGTTTTCTTTCAACAACAGTTAAACATGGTGTCAGTTTCTTGTTGGGAAAAGAAGACTTCGTGTATTAAGAAAAAATGAACAAAATATGTGCCCCGCCCACCCACCCTTTGTGAATTGTGATAAATATTTTATTCATCATGAGCTAAAGGGTGGAGAAGTGGGATTTATTTGGCGGCACTTCAGTGGCGAGGGAAGTTCTGTTGAAATAACATTCGACCAATTTTTTTAACAATGTGCAAACTTATCAGGGACCCCTTCTGTCTTTTTCTTTCAATGTAAAACCTTCTCGGGGGCCCCAACTGTTTTTTTTAAGAATATGAACCCATTTCGGAAGGCCCTCTGCCTTTTTGTTAATAGGAATATGGATTTTTTTTCAACAATGAATCTTGGGGCCCCCTATTGTATTTTTTCTTTAATAATATGGAACCTTCTGGCCTGATGTGACTTTACTTTTTCCTGCCCTGACTTGACTACGTTTTTCTGACTCGACCTGACCTTTTCTTGACCTTTTCCTGACCTGACCTAATCTAACCTAACCTGACCTAACCGGCCCTGAAGAACGTTCGAAACGTAGGGCAATAAATTGGATTAAAATAGTAAATGATCTAAATTTAATCCCAGTGTGTATTTGAAAACTCTGTTTTTTAACATCGTCTGATGATGATGATAATAATAATATTGTTGTAGGACTTGGCCATGGGCACCGACGCCGAAGGCGAGAAGATCAAGGATCACATGAGGAACATCGTCCCCATCCTGCTCGACCCGAAAATCACCAACGAGTTCGATAAAATGCGCATTATCGCACTGTACGCCATGACGAAGAACGGCATCACCGAGGAGAACCTGTCCAAGTTGGCGACGCATGCGCAAATCAAAGAAAAAGAGACCATCGCGAACTTGCAGCTGCTGGGTGTGAACGTCATCAGTGACGTAAGTGATGGGTCCTTCTCAGACGCGCATCTAGTTTATTTTTTGTAGGGGGGCAACCGCAAGAAACCGTACAGCGTCCCCCGTAAAGAGCGCATCACCGAGCAGACCTACCAGATGTCGCGGTGGACGCCGGTGATCAAGGACATCATGGAGGACTGCATCGAGGACAAGTTGGACCAGAAGCACTTCCCGTTCTTAGCGGGGCGCGCCCAAACCAGCGCTTATCACGCTCCCACGAGGTGAGTATTGGCCGGATGAGTGATTCCAGAGTGTGATGGGTTTGTTGTAGTGCAAGGTACGGCCACTGGCACAAGGACAAGACCCAGCAGGCGGTGAAGAACGTGCCTCGGCTTTTGGTGTTCATCGTCGGGGGGATGTGCTTCTCGGAGATCCGGTGTGCTTACGAGGTCACGAATGCCGTGAAGAATTGGGAGGTGATCATCGGGTCGTCGCATATATTGACGCCTGAGAGTTTTCTGAGTCACTTGACGGGGTTGTCGGGCTAGAATTCAGCTAAAAAAGTTACCTTTAATATACCTGATGTCTGATCGCTTCGTGTCGTGTCGATGTTGTTTGGTTAATTTTTTCCATGATTGTTAGCCTAGTGTAGAGTTTATTATATTGTGCTTGTTATGGTTACGTTAGGACGATTGTGAGTATTTGCACGTTAAAATTTGAATACAGTTGAAATGTGAAGAAATTTTAAAGTTCGTGGTGTGTTTAAATATCTATTGTTGATCTCAGATCGATTTTAATATCATGCTTAGGACGATCGTGATTTGTAAGAATATCTCGATGTAGTAGACACACTGGGTGTTTTTAGGTAAGTTGAAGTGAAGGCTGTACTATAATTAACTCAGACTAAACGGCTTAGTTATATCTCGCTTCCAAAACCGAAAGTGTACTATCTTACTACTATAAAGCAATACGTTATTTTAATCAGGTACACTAGAGTAGATTTGAATTAAAATTAGTGACAATATTCAACTTTATGTAACGTAAGTTAGGTTATCGCCAACTTCTTGTATTACCACTAAAGATCTAATCATGTCAATTTAAATAAACATAGCAGTTTGAGCTATTTTTGCTTATCTAGTCACCCTGAACCCACGGGTCACACTTATCGCGGCTTTCTTCCAAACAACTGTCTTTCAGTGTTGAAATTCCTAAAAAAAGGGACTAGAACTTAGGAAATTCTTTACCACCCTTGAAAAAGAAAAAAACAAAGCCCCCGAGAATCTTACACATGACCCTTATTCAACTCAGCAAAAGATACTCAGAGCTCCCGAGATTCTTAAGCAACTAAGCAAAAGACACTCAGGGTTCCCGAGATTGTTTTGGAACTAAGCAAAAGACACTCGGAGCTCCTGAGATTCTAATGCAACTAAGCAAAAGACACTAGGAGCTCCCGAGATTCTAATGCAGCTAAGCAGAAGACACTCAGGGCTCCCGAGATTCTTAAGCAACTAAGCAAAAGACACTCAGGGCTCCTGAGATTTTTAAACAACTAAGCAAAAGACAATCAGGGCTCCCGAGATTCTTAAGCAACTAACTTAAAGACACTCAGAATTCTCGAGATTCTTAAGCAACTCAGCTAAAGACACTCAGGGTTCCCGAGATTCTTAAACAAATAAGCAAAAGACACTCAGGGCTCCTGAGATACTAATTCAATTAAGCAAAAGACATTTCGGATTCCTGAGATTTTTAAACAACTAAGCTAAACACACTTAGGGCTCCCGAGATTCTTGCAGGACACTCAGGATTCCTGAGATTTGTATGCAACTAAGCAAAAGACAATTGGGGCTCCCGAGATTCTAATGCAACTAAGCAAAGACACTCATCAGGTTTCCCGAGATTCTTAAACAACTAAGCAAAAGACGCTCAGAACTCCCGAGATTCTTAAACAACTAAGCAAAAGACACTCAGGGCTCCCGAGATTCTTAAACAACTAAGCAAAAGACAGTCAGAATTCTCGAGATTCTTAAGCAACTAAGCTAAAGACACTCAGGGTTCCCGAGATTCTTAAATAAATAAGCAAAATACACTCAGGGCTCCCGAGATTCTTGCAACTAAGTAAACGACTCTCAAGATTCCTGAGATTTTTATGCAACTAAGCAAAATACACTCGGGAATCCCGAGATTCTTAAGCAACTAAGTAAAAGACACTCAGACCTCCCGAGATTCTAATGCATCTAAGCAAAAGGCACTCAGAACTCCCGAAATTTTTTCGCATTCTTCAAAAAAAAAGTACTACTGGTTTTCTGAGAATTTTTCAGTTCTTTAAAAAAAAAAAGGATACTTGGAGCTCCCGAGACTCTTGCATATTATTTAAAAAATATTTGCTAAAAATTCCTGAGTTTAATTAAATTTTTCAGAAAAACGTACACACACGGACCCGTAATTCTTTTGCAATTAAGGAAAAAATACTTACAGCTACAGAAATTTCTTCTGCAACTAAAACAAACACTCAGTGTTCTTGGGATGTCTTTGCAATTAAATAATAGACACTCTGGTTCCAGAGATACTTATGTAGCTAAGCAAAAAACACTCAGGGCTCCCGCGATACTTGCAACTAAGCAAAAGACACTCAGGGTTCCCGAGATTCTTATACAATAAAGCAAAAGCACCTTGGGCTCCTGAGATACTAATTCAATTAAGCAAAAGACATTTCGGATTCCTGAGATTTGTATGCAACTAAGCAAAAGACAATTGGGGCTCCCGAGATTCTAATGCAACTAAGCAAAGACACTCATCAGGGTTCGCGAGATTCTTAAACAACTAAGCAAAAGACACTCAAGATTCCCGAGATTCTTAAGCAACTAAGCTAAAGACGCTCAGGACTCCCGAGATTCTTAAACAACTAAGCAAAAGACACTCAGGGTTCCCGAGATTCTGAAACAACTAAGCAAAAGACACTCAGGGCTCCCGAGGTTCTTATGCAACTAAGCAAAAGACACTCGGAGCTCCCGAGATTCTAATGCAGCTAAGTAAGACACTCAGGGTTTCCAAGATTGTTATGCAACTAAGCAAAAACCAATCGCCACTCCCGAGATTCTATAATGCAGCTAAGCAAAAGACACTCAGGGCTCCCGAGATTCTAATGCAACTAAGCAAAAGACACTCAGGGCTCCCGAGATTCTTATGCAACTAAGCGAAAGGCACTCAGGGTTCCCGAGATTCTTGTGCAACTAAGCAAAAGACACTCAGGGTTCCCGAGATTCTTATACAATAAAGCAAAAGCACCTTGGGCTCCTGAGATACTAATTCAATTAAGCAAAAGACATTTCGGATTCCTGAGATTTGTATGCAACTAAGCAAAAGACAATTGGGGCCCCCGAGATTCTAATGCAACTAAGCAAAGACACTCATCAGGGTTCGCGAGATTCTTAAACAACTAAGCAAAAGACACTCAAGATTCCCGAGATTCTTAAGCAACTAAGCTAAAGACGCTCAGGACTCCCGAGATTCTTAAACAACTAAGCAAAAGACACTCAGGGTTCCCGAGATTCTTAAACAACTAAGCAAAAGACACTCAGGGCTCCCGAGGTTCTTATGCAACTAAGCAAAAGACACTCGGAGCTCCCGAGATTCTAATGCAGCTAAGTAAGACACTCAGGGTTTCCAAGATTGTTATGCAACTAAGCAAAAACCACTCGCCACTCCCGAGATTCTATAATGCAGCTAAGCAAAAGACACTCAGGGCTCCCGAGATTCTAATGCAACTAAGCAAAAGACACTCAGGGCTCCCGAGATTCTTATGCAACTAAGCGAAAGGCACTCAGGGTTCCCGAGATTCTTGTGCAACTAAGCAAAAGACACTCAGGGTTCCCGAGATTCTTATGCAACTAAGCAAAAGACACTCAGGGTTCCCGAGATTGTTATGGAACTAAGCAAAAGAAATAAGTAAATAAATAAATACTATAATTACGAATTCGAAATCGCAAATAAAAATATATTTATAAGCTTTTCGAAAAGCTTTTGAAAAACTGAGAAATTGAAAACTTGAAATATTGAGAAATCGGAAAGTCGATTCTTTTTAAAAACTGTTAAAAACGTGTAAAAATCGGGAAAACGTAACATTAAAAAATAGTAAAACTGAATTGAAAAGTGGAAAAATTGGGACATCGTAACATTGAAAAATTGGAAAATCGAAAAATCAAAAATTTTTAAAATCAAAAACTTGAAACACTGAAAAATCTAAAACCGAGAAGTCGAAAAGTCGAAAAATTACAATACTTATTTAAAAAATTAAAAATCCAGAAATCGGAACATCAAAAAATAGTAAAACTGAAAATTAAAAAAAAACAGAAATCGAAAAACTGAAAAAACAAGAATTTGAAAAATCTCAAAACTCAGATGTCGAAAAATACGAACATCGAAAATTTGGAAAATCGAGAAATTAAAAATTGAAAAATGTAAAACGTAAAAATATCGAAAGAAGAAAATATGAAAAACTAAAAAATTTAAAACGTAAAAAATATGGAAAGTAGAAAATTTGAAAAATAGTAAAACTGAAAAATCTAAAACCGTAAAGTAGAAAAGTAGAAAAATCGTGATTTCGAGAAATCAAAAATTCGAAAAATTGAAATATGTATTAAAAAATTATAAAATCGAGAAAACGAAATATCAACAAATAGTAAAACTGAAAATAAAAGAAAAAACAACAAATCAAGAAATTTGAAATTAAAAAAAAAACGAAAATATAAGAAATGAAAAACTAAAAAATTAAGAAATTGAAAAATTCCAAAATTAAAATGTCGAAAAATTGAAAAATGGAAAAATTGAAAAATCAAAAAATTAAAAATTTTAAAAACCGAGAAAGTGAAAAATTTTTAAATTGCGAAAATCGAGATGCCAATAAGCGCAGTCGAAAATATTTAAATTTTGAAAAATTTAAAAATCAGGAAATCGGAACATCGAAAAATAGTAAAACTGAAAAATCAAAAAACGAGAAATAGAAAAATCTAAAACTTAAAAAATGGAAAAATTGAAAAATCAAAAAATTGAACAATAGAAAACTGAAAAATTAAGAAACTGAAAAATCGAAAAAGTTTAAAAATCGGAGCATCGAAAATCTACAATTCGAAAATCGAAAAATTAAGAAAATTTAAATGATGATAAAAATCAACAAATTTAAAGACCGGAAGATTGAAAAATGCAGATATTAAGAGTCGAAAAATTAAAATAAAAAAAATCAGGAAATAGTAAAATTGAAAAATAAAAAAAAAACGAGAAATCTAAAATTGTAAAATTTAAAAATCGAAAAAAAAAATCAAAGAATTGAGGAATCGAAAAATCCGGGAATAGAAAAGTCAGGAAATCGAAAAATCGAGAAATTGAACAATCGAAAAGTCGAAACATTGAATTTCGGTAAAAAATTGAAAAATTGAAAAACCAAAAAATTGAAGAATCGAAAACTGAAAAATTAAGAAACTGAAAAATCGAAAAAGTTTAAAAATCGGAGCATCGAAAATCTACAATTCGAAAATCGAAAAATTTAAATGTAAAAAATCGAAAAATAGTTAAGTTGAACAATCAAAAAATGGAAACATCGAAATGTAGATAAATCGTGAAATCGAAAAAATAAATAGTCGAAAACCATAAAAATCGACAAATTTAAAGACCGGAAGATTGAAAAATACAAATATTAAGAGTCGAAAAATTGAAATTTAAAAAAAACAAAAAATCAGGAAATAGTAATATTGAAAAATAAAAAAAACGAGAAGTCGAAAAATATGAAATTTAAAAATCGAAAAAAAAAAACAAAAAAGTGAGGAATCGAAAAGTCAGGAAATCGAAAAATCGAAGCATTGAATCTCGGTAAATCGAAAAACTGAAAAACCGAAAAATTGTAATTGAAATTGAAAAATTAATTTAAAAAATTGGAAATTTTAAAAATTGAAAAATTAAAAATTTTAAAAGGGAAAAATAGTAAAACTGAAAATAAAAAAAGCGAGAAATCGAAAAACTGAAAAATTGAAATTGAAAAAATAATATAAAAAAGAGAAATCGAAAAACTTAAAACTCAGGAAATTGAAAAATTCCAAAACTGAAATGTCCAAAAATAGGGAAATCGAAAAATTGAAAAATTCAAAAACTGAAAAATCGAAAAATTGAAATTGAAAAAATAATGTACAAAAATAAAAAACCTAAAAATGGAAAAATTAAAAATTTTAAAAAGGAAAAATAGTAAAACTGAAAATTTAAAAAAACAAGAAATGGAAAAACTTGGGAAAACAAAAAATCAAACATTGAAAAATTGAAACATCGATAAAATCGAAACATCAAGAGATTGAGAAATCGAAAAATGGAGAAATCAAAGTAACCCAAAATCGAAAAATTAAGAAAATTTAAATGTAAAAATTGAAAAATAAAGAAATTAAACAATCGAAAAATAGAAAAATCGAAAAATTTAAAAGCCGGAAGATTGAAAAATGGAAAATTAAAACTTTTTAAAATCGAAAAACCCAAAAGTCGAAAATTCGAAAAATTTTGGAAGTCAAAGAGCCGAAATATTGAGAAATCGAAAAATTGAAAAGTCAAAAAAATTCAAAAATTAGGAAATCCGAACACCGAGAAGTGACAAAATTGAAAAATAAAAAAAAAACGAGAAATCGAAAAATCTAGAATATAAAAAATCGAAAAATTCAGAAGTCAAAACATTGGTCCAAGGTTACTTTCAAAAATCAAAAAATTGAGGAATGGAAAACTGAAAAATTAAGAAATTGAAAAATCCCAAAACTGAAACGTTGAAAAACTAAAAAATCGAAAAACCGATAAATCAAAATAGCTCAAAATTGAAAAATTTGTAAAAAATCAAAAAGTTGAAAAATTGAAAAATCTAAAACCGAGAAGTACAAAAAATTTTAAAAACCGAAAAACTGAGATGTCGAGAATCAAAAATTTGAAAAATCGGAAAACTGAAATATTAAAAAATCAAAAAATTGAGCAATCGGAACATCGAAAAATTGGAAAATCGAAAAATAAAAAATTGAAAAATGCGGAAAATCGAAACATCAAGAGATCGAGAAATCGAAAAATCTAAAAATCTCGGGAACCCTGAGTGTCTTTTGCTTAGTTGCACAAGAATCTCGGGAGCTCCGAGTGTCTTTTGCTTAGTTGCATTAGAATCTCCGGAGCCCTGAGTGTCTTCAGCTTAGTTGCATTACAATCTCTGGAGCTCCGACTGTTTTTTGCTTAGTTGTATAAAAGCAAAAGACACTCAGTGTTCCCGAGATTCTTGTGCAACTAAGCAAAAGACACTCAGGGTTCCCGAGATTCTTATACAACTAAGCGAAAGACACTCAGAGCTCCGGAGATTCTAATGCAACTAAGCAAAAGACACTCGGAGCTCCCGAGATTCTTATGCAACTAAGCAAAAGACACTCAGGGTTCCCGAGATTCTTGTGCAACTAAGCAAAAGACACTCAGAGCTTCCGAGGTTCTTAAGCAACGAAGCAAAAGGCACTCAGAGCTCCCGTGATTCTTGTGGAACTAAGCAAAAAACACTCAGGGCACTCGAAATTCTTTAAATTAAAGGAAAAAGATAATCATGACCCCGTGATTCTTTCAGTCTTAAAAAAAACAATATTCAACTTATCGTCAACTTCTTTTATAATACCACACGGGGTCTAATCATCTCAAATGAAATAAACAAAGAAGTTATCGCACAATTGTCCTTTATCTCGTCACCCTGACCCCACAGCTCACACTCATTGCATTTTTCTCACAAACAACTATCATCACTATTACTAAAAATGAGCCTTGGAAAGGTCGTCCTTGCCTACTCCGGAGGCCTAGATACCAGCTGCATCCTGCGATGGCTCCTAGACCAAAACTACGACGTCATCTGCTACATGGCGAACATCGGCCAAGATGAAGACTTCGACGCAGCCACCACCAAAGCCACTAAAATCGGCGCTTCCAAGGTAAACCTAAACCCACCCACCACTCTTTTATAATCAACCCTAGGTCATCGTGGACGACGTCCGCCACTCCTTCGTCAACGACTACGTGTGGCCAGCCATCAGAGCAGGCCTCATCTACGAATCGCGCTACCTCCTAGGCACCTCCTTAGCGCGACCTTGCATATCCGTGGGGTTGGTGAAAGCGGCCCTCGACAACGACGCCCAGTTCATCGCACACGGCGCCACCGGGAAGGGAAACGACCAAGTGCGCTTCGAATTATCGTGTTATTCGCTCTGGCCAGACGTAAAAGTAAGTAATTAATTTAATTTTCACTCAACTTTTATTAGTATTATTAAACATACAATGTACGTAAATGTACGTAGATCATCGCCCCTTGGAGAATCGAAGAGTTCACAGAACGCTTCCAAGGTAGGTCGGACCTCATCAAGTACGCCTCCGACAACAACATCCCGGTTTCGGCCACCCCCAAGTCCCCCTGGAGCATGGACGCCAACCTCATGCACATCAGTTACGAGTCCGGAATTCTGGAGAACCCGAACAACGAAGCCCCTCACGACCTATTTCAAATGACGGTGGATCCGAAGAAGGCCCCCACCGACTCCTTTAAACTATCCATCGAGTTCTCTAAGGGTGTCCCGGTCAAAGTGATCACTCAAGACGCCCAAGTGTTCAACGACGCGCTGGAGATTTTCACGTTTTTGAATAAAATTGGGGGCAAGTATGGGGTGGGCAGGATTGACATTGTGGAAAATAGGTTCATAGGGTTGAAGTCGCGTGGGGTGTATGAAACTCCTGGGGGTTATATTCTGTACGTAGCTCACACGGATTTGGAAGTGTTTTGTCTGGATAAGGAAGTCTACAGGGTGAAGCAAAGTCTGCGAGATCGCTTATCGGACTATGTTTATAATGGGTTCTGGTTTTCGCCAGAGGGGCGGTTTGTGTTTGACTGTATTGCTCTGGCTGAGGAGACGGTGAATGGGAAAGTCAACCTAGAGATTTATAAAGGGAATGGTAAAAACAAAGCCAGTTTAGGGGTTCACTTGGTCATTTTTTATTGTTTTGTTTTGTAGTGACCGTTTTGGGGCGCTGGTCTCCCGTTTCGTTGTACAATGAAGACCTGGTGTCCATGGATAAACATTCAGATTTCTCCCCAAGCGACGCCACTGGGTTCATCAACATCCAGGCCATACGTCTGAAGGAGTATAACAGATTCCAAAAGCAACAAAAGTGACTTTGTGGCTAATAAATAAATAAAATTGTGTCAATTTCGGATGACATTTCTGGGGAAAAGTGAGGTTAGGTTGCTCTACGAAATCAAAAAACCCAATATCAACTTTCGAGGACGAAAAATCTCGTTGCGGCTGTTCTAGAATTGAAACTAATAGTCACGATAATTACAATGTGGGTATTTTAAGCCAAAAAATCCGATTCAAAAATTAAGCACGTATGCAACCCACAATACACCTACATCTTATGCAACCCACAATACTTGAAATTATTTTTCGTGGATTTTCAGATGCCTGTTCAAGATATTCTTGAACTTAAAGTTCTTCCTACAATATTTACACTCAAACCACTCGATTTCATTCTCTGGTAAATGCTTGGAAATAACGTGACTCCTCAAATGCGACTTTTGTTTGAACCTGGCCTTGCAGTGGTCACACTCAAACCAAACAAATCCATCTGGTACATGCTCCATCGTCACGTGATACTTCAAACACCTCTTGTTCTTAAACCCCAAACCACATAACTCGCACTTAATTTGTTTTAAATCGTCAGACTGACAATATTTTAAATGGAGCGCCAAATTTCGCTCGTCTTTACATTTAAATGAACACATTTTACACTCAATCTGGGTTTCCCCAACATGCTTCACTTTCACGTGTTTGTTTAAAATCTTCTTAAACTTGAATCTTTGTGGGCACTGGTCGCATTCGTGCCACTGGATTTTGTCGTCTGGTAGGTGTTTCGCGATGATGTGCCTCTTCAGGGTTTGCTTATTCCGGACTTTAGTGGCGCATTGGTCGCACCGCAACCACGGAATCTCATCTTCCGGTAGGTGCGTCATTTCCACGTGATTCCGGAGTTTGTTCTCTTCCTTAAATCTAGCAGTGCACTGTTCACATTGGAACCATTGAATTTCGGCTTCGGTTAAATGTTTCACCAACACGTGTCTCTTCAATACCGAGTTATACTTGAATTTAGCTGCGCATTTTTTGCAGTGGAACCACCGGATTTCCGACTCGTGAAAATGGGTACGAATGACGTGTCTGCGGAGTTGGATTTTTTGTTTGAATTTTGAGGGGCACTTGTCGCAGTGGAACCACTGGATGTCTTCGGGGTTAGTGTGGAGCCACTTGATGTGTTTTTGGAGGTATTTTCGGATTTTGAATTTTGATGGGCAATGGGTGCATTGTAACCATTTGATTTGGTTGTCGGATAGGTGCTTGATGGTGGAGTGGTCTTCCAGGTCTTGTTTTCGTCGGGTTTTGAAGGGGCAACGGGTGCACTGAAGGTGGTGGGTTCTTTGATGGTGTTTCAAATTGACTAGGTAGTGAGTTTGAAAATTTTGACAGTCCACACACTGAAAAGGTTTAATGTCACGGGAACATTCGAAAAAGTCAGGTAAAATTGTCCCTAAATCCATAAATTAATGGTTTCGGACTGGAGATTTCTGGGGAAAAAGTGAGGTTAGGTTTTGCTACGATACAAAAACCCAAATATAAATCTTTGACCACACAAAAACGTGTTCTGGCTGTTCTAAAACACGACGACTTAATCTACAATTACTGTCAACGTATTTTAAGCGAAAAAAATCTACTTTAATTTTCTAACCTCAAATCGCATTCGTTTTTTGGGGATTTTCACTTCTTCATGTTTGTGGGTTACCGCCTTTCCAACATGGCTCCCCATAGACACTTCTTAAATGTCAAAACAAAAACAACAAGACAGCAAAGATGAGCCCCAGGGGCCGACGTAACCGCCGTTTTTTAGGTAATTTGTCAGCATCCAGCCCCCAGAAGCCCTCCGATGACGCCTTTCCCCCCCACTAGGACGCACCCGTGCACAACCCCCACGGCCCCACACATCCAGGAACAACCATGAAGAGCATGGAACTGGACTCCATAGGGACCGTGTTCTGGTTCCAGAAGGCCGACTCGCTCAACACGTTCATCAAGATGTGGTACCACGTTTTCCTTTGGTCGTTTTTTTCCTCGTTGGTGGTGCACACTTTGGCGGGTTTGATTGCGTTCCTCACCCTGAGGAAACACAAGTTTGGGAAGTTTTTCCCGTTGGCGATATTGTTGATAGGGATCGTGGCCCCGGCGGTCACGGGAATCGTGAGCAGTGCGGCGATCGCGTTTGTGTATCGGGCCTCGAGTTTGCCCATGAACCCTCTGTATGCGCTGTTCTGGGGGTGCGGACAGACCATTGTGATGGCGTCGATGGGATTCACGCGGATTTTGGCCACTTTGTGAAGTGTGGGTGGAAATGGGACACAAGTGTAGAGTAGCTCTATTTTATTCATATTATAAGTTATTGGTTTTGTTTTGTTGATTTATTTTTAAGTATTAGAAATCGATTGTAACGTTTTAGAGAAAAATGATTTTTATAATGGATATTTTTTTAATGCCTGAATTTTTCCAGTTTCCTCCAGAATATTAATTTTAAGAGAATGGGCTGTGGACGTAAATAAGGTGATTCCTATTTTAGATTATAATTTTTTTATTTATTATTTTATTTTCGACACTATAATGAGCAACCTAGGTTGACGAAGCTGGATCGTCGACCTCTGAACAGGATAACAGGTTGTTGAAAAAGTTCAATAATTAAAAGATAACAATTATCTTTATATCTCCTCGTTAATCTGTTATCCTGTTCAGAAGTTGAAGATCCGGGCTTGCTGATTTTGACATTTCTTTAAGGGATTTGGTGTAAATTGCGAGTCATTTTTTATTGCATTTCAACCAGAAAAACAACTATGTAATGAATATTTTTTTGTTTATTTTTGCTTATGTTAATATTTGTGAAGGAAAAAAATTTTGCACGAAAAAATTGAGCATTTGCGCAAACATCCACAAAAAGTTGTGGTCGATTTGACCATAATTTAAATTTTTTTAAAAATTAAAAAAAGTTATAAAAAAATCTTCAAGCTAGGAATACTTCAGATTGTATTTTTATTGGTTCGTTGGTAATGTGATAGGCGGATCATGAGGCACAGCCAATTGCGTGAGAGTCCGCTTCAAGGGCGTTTCGCCCCTCGACCAATAGGACTGTGAGACCGCCCGAGCCGTTCTTATACCCTTCATAATAAATTATTTATTTTGTTTCTATCATTGTGTTTTTAAAATTAAAATATGTAAATATTATAGTATTTAATAATACATAATTTTTACAACAGTGAAAATGAAGTGGAAATTAGCAAATAATAATGTCAAAGAAATTGACGATCACTGCGCATCAGAACCATGCGTATTTTTGGTTGCCTACTTACAGATTATTTAAAATTTACTTTATTAATTTTATACACAATATCAAAGACATTCAAAGCGAAAAACCTTAAAATTTGCAAAAAAAATCCAAAAGGCCATTTAGTAGTTAAGGTTTTTTCAATTTTCATTGGAACAGCTTTAATTAATTGTTTATATGTAAATAATAAATGTGGTGATAAAAGTTGTCTGTCGATTTCAAATTTTTGACGAGCCCGAGCATTCGTCTCTTGACCAGGATAGCAGAAGACTTTAGAGGAATGTCGCCATTTCCCTCATCTATAAACTGATTTTTATTTATTAAAAGTTAGGATTATGTCGATTTCTGGAACAACCTACTCGTGTTAAACTTCTACCTCATAGATGGCGCTCGCATCGAATTTTAGTTGGTCTGAAGATCTCGACTTCCTGCTGTCCTGATCAAAGCTAGAAGATTCGGGCCCGCTGAATTCGACGCGGAAGTCGGTGGTCCGGATTTGTCCAGAAAAAACTGAGTATTTTGATTTTTTTTTAAATTTTCAGTTTAAACATTTTGATGACCAACATTTTTCCTTATTTAAAGGGGTTGTAGAAGAAAAGTGGAGGATTTAAGTTGATTACTACTAAAATTTACCATTTTAGGCGTGTTTTAATTTTCTTGTTGTCGAAATAAGTCTACACATACTAAGGAAAAAAGGCAAAATGTAGCCCCGCCCACCCACCCTCTCTCAATTCCGAAGATTTTTTTTTTAATCGTCGAGAACCAAAGGAGCGGAACTTCAATGCAAAATTCTTATTATTTCTCTATAGGAAATTACCATGTAAGGCATTTTTTGAATATCGTGTTATTCAAAGAATACTTAAGAAAAAATTAAAGCCAAAGATTAAGCCCCACACATACCTACACTGATCTAAATTGTAGTTTTCATTCGTTGTAATGTACATCGTATTCAACACAATACTCAAAAACATGTTTTTTATTTCTTGTAGAGAAATAAGTATTTTGTAGTTAAGCTCCGTCCCCTTGGTTTACGGCGAATAAAAAAATCATCACAATTGAGATAGGGCGGGTGGGCGGGGCTAGATTTTGTCTTTTTGTTTTAATATGTGTAGACTTCTTTTCACAATATGAAACTTAAAAAATGTTTAAAATGGAAAATTTGTATAAGGAAATATCGATTTTACAATTAGGCTCCGCCCCATAATTCCAAAATCCATATTTCCTTGCAAAAATGTAGCATAATCATGTTTTAAGTTTCTTATTGTGAAAAGATGGCTATGTATATTAAGAAAATAAAGGCAAAATATAAGCCCCGCCCACCCACCCTGTTTCAATTCTGATGACTTTTTTATTCGTCGTAAACTTGCAAAATTTTGGCAAGTACTAGCCCCACCCACCCGCCCTTTATTTTCTTAGAGGGTACGTTATTTGGTAATATCAATCTTATCTTGGCAAGCAGTAGCCCCACCCACCCGCTCTTTATTTTCTTAGAGGGCTAGTACCTGCTAAGATAAGACTGATTTTGGCTAATGACATATTCGCTAAGAAAATAGAGAGCTGGTGGGTGGGGCTAGCACTTGCTAAGGTAGGACTGATTTTGGCAGATGAGATACCCTGTAAGAAAAGAGAGGGTGGGTGGGCGGGGCTAGTACCTGATAAGATAAGACTGATTTTGGCAAATGAAATACTGTCTTGAGTCTCGACTATTGGACCAAATCGACAGCGTTACAATATCTCGACCTCCCCTGAATTTTATTCTAACCTGCATCCTTAGTGCAGATGGTGCGATAATTCCCGTTGGCTCGACTAGGAACCGCGCCCTCCGCTTCTGCTACATGTTATTGTGTTTTTACCTCAATTCTATTTAAATGTTCAATTCTTATGACTCTGATATTAACGACAACTGAACAAGTGTCAAAGTTTCAAAAAGAGCAATAAACAACATTTAAATTCGCCATACAATCTTGTGAAATTTTAAACAACAAATAATTATTATTTGAGATTAAAATTGGACATCAGATAATTTATATGATGGAAACATTCATCAACAAAACATTTACTGAACAAAAAACCAGCAAAGATTTATAAAAACAAAGGATCTGGTGTGAAATAAACTTGTGCAGGTAAAATATTACGTGAGGTTAGAAACTAGCATGAAAATTTACTTTCAGTTAAAATTATACAACTAAGAAATTTACTGAGGTTAAAATTGTGAAATAGAGAAATATTGTATGAGGCGAAAAATTGTAAAGCTAACAAAATTTACATGAGGTTAATATATATTTACCACACTTTATCAACGATTCAAACGTAGAATTTACATTATTTTAAATTATGTCTTGATCCGAGTGACTGGTTACCCCAACAAGGAACATAATAAATAAACACAAAAATATCCAGTCATCGTTGCGAGGTAAAAGCGTCTCGGTGATGTAATTTTTAGCGTTGCGAGGAAATGCCTCGGTCATGTAATGATGATAACGATGATAACTGCCTAAGGGAAGAAATTATTTTAACCCTCCGCTAGTTCACGATATAATGAATTTTGTTAATTTAAACTATTAGCGATTTTGCGTGAAAATTAAGAACTGTTATAATGTAACACTAACGTATTAGCCTCCAGAAACCTCATTCATAACATTTAAACAAAGGGTGTTATCCTGACTAGGTGAATTTCATCAATCTCCTAGTAAATGTCTGTTACATTGTGTTAGAAGCAGTTAACGATTAAAATCCTAACCTGAACTGTGAATTAACAAACAATAAAACAAATTTACAGCACGGTAGCGTCGTTAGAAAGCCGCAAGTATTGTCAATAAATGTTGGTAGGGATGATTAGCCAGATTTTGATCATAATGTACACGATATTCGTAAAACACATATAAAACTTGACAACTGGTTTAGTTTCGGAGATTATCTGTTTAATAAAAATCCGGATAGACGGCAGACAAACAGACGGAAACGGGCCACCTATTGTTTCGTACTGAGTTTACGCTGAGAAAGTAAAAAGATGCGCTCTTATTTTACTTTAGGCGCCTGTTATATTTTTAGGAATATTTACTAAATTAAATGTAAATAATTTTATAAAAAAAAATCACGATCCGATACTGATAGCATTGTTTAATAAGTATATTATAGTTGGACAACCTAATACAAATTTTACTTCGCCTAAATAGTGAGCTTTAGGACAAGGAATCCAGGGGGCGTGGGACAAATTTTTCGTCAACGCGCATTTTCACTACAGTGAGCCAACGTATTAGGTTTATTTTACTCTACATCAGATGGCGCCATCAAACATTAGCAAAGGCACACACCCTTCACTCTGCTCTTATACGAGGAGTTATCCATAAATCCATAATTAACATTGTTCCGTAAACAGTAATGTGTATAAACATATATGTACAAAATATGAAAATATACTTGACATAAAAAATATGAAGCAACGCGTTGTAACGTGATAAGAATTGAATTTTAATGAATTTGAAGCATATTTTTATTTGACTATATCTGAAGACTGACAGAAACTTTCCAAGGGTTTTTAAACTGGTATAATTGTTTAGTTTTACAAGATTAAAGTAAAACAAAATTTTAAGTAAAATTTAGATTCGTGGTGTTACAAAAATATTAACACAAAATGAAAATATATGTTCAAAGTAAATAACAGAATGACATAAACTTTCGGCGTTAACATTACAAATAAAGAAAAAAAGAGAGAAAAAAACGCATTAAGAACTTACGAGGCATGTTTGTAATATCGAGATGTTAAAGGCTAAATCTCTCCCAAATATGTCTTTCTTGGCACGACTTGTAATCCGAAGTCTCCCTTCACATGCAATTTTTCGTCGCCTGAGAACTTGTTTGATCTACAGACCAAAGCACACTCAGGCCAATATCGGCTTTAAGCGATTTATTTATAAACCGATATTCGTTAGAGTTGATCTGATACACATCCACTACGAAGAACTAACCCATTTCGACCATTTTACATTACCATTTACAACGAATAAGTGAACAAAGTTCTTGAACATCTTAACGATTTAATACATAATGTTCCCGAATGACAAAATTTACATTTCAAATTGTATTATCAAATTACACTCTCCAAAATTTGTCACGAACAATGAAATGATGCAATCTCCAAATTTTAC